AGGGACACACTTCAAAGGAGAATTCTCTGAGTATTTGGCACAACATGGTATAACCCATAGGAACGCCCCTCTTGAGAGCCCGCAGACCATCGGAAAGGTCGAGCGCCGTGGTGGTCTTGCCAAGGCCATCATCAGGAAGGTCGCGCAAGAGGCTCAGCCCTCGAATATTGAGGAGATGGAAGCGGTAGTCACCGAAAGTGTCACCACTAAGAATGAGCTTAGCAGACATCAAGGCTTCAGTCCAGCACAACATGTGCTAGGTAAACAGCCCCGAACGCCAGGATCCATACACGACGAATCCGAAAGCTTGGGTACACTGTTTACCAAATGTGATGAAACGAACACATATTATGTTCGGCACCGTGCGTGACAGGAAGCTAAGAAAGCTTTTGTCCACTTGGAGACCTCACGCAAGGTTGCGAAAGCACTCCAACGTAATGCGGCGCCAATTGACGTCGAATACAAAATCGGCGACTTGGTTATATACCGTAGAGACAATGTCCCCGGTAGCTTTGGTACCGTTTGGTCTACGGTTAGCCGCGTTATAGGACGCGAGGCAGAAAACGCGTGTTGGGTGTTACATGAAAACATTCCTGCTTTAGTCAATGCCCGAAAGATGCGTCCTGCCGATGAGGTCGAACTCGCAGCGCACCGCGTTCTAGCAGGCGAACCAGTACTTCCGGAAGCCATCGTACATGGACCGGAACAAAAGTTCCAGGATGAACGCACAGCGGATCCGGTCACTGCACCGGCGACACCAAGACCAGCGGCGGTTGCTGCTCCGTCCACACCGACGGTCGCCCCTGGCACACCAATGCCGGCCCCGCCGACGCCAGTGGTGATGCCGGGCACACCGATGCCCGCGCCATCAACTCCGGCGAGGGGTCGTGCCAAAGATAAGACGGGCGAAACTGCTCGGTCGCGGTCGCCAGTAGGAGCCCGAGATGCGGTGCTACTCGCAGAAGAGGTTGATCAAGTAGAGGCTCTGGCAAGACGTTTAATAGACACTCAGGGGTTTGACCCAGACGAGTGCTTGGAACTTCTTCGCACGTTTGATCGCGATCGACGCGAGGTGTACACACGCCCGCTTCTTGATGATGGAGATCCCGGGAGTATAGCTCTCGCGGTTGGAGTTTACCGCCATGGCGGACGTGTAGGTGTCTCCGGGCCCACACGGGACAGACCGTCATTCGCTATGTACCTCAACCTCTATCTCTTGCATCACAGTATGCGAGCTGGCCATTCGAACCCACAATGGAGTAGCATCCAACTCACTAACAGAGGCGCTGATGCACACAAGGACCTTGCCAATACCCCCGGATCGTTCAACTTCACTATAGGAGTAGGCGATTACCGTGGAGGTGGCTTGTGGGTCGAAGAAGCCACGGGTACAACTCCCGTGCGTGTGCAGAATACAACCATGTACGGCACCGTTCATGACACTAAGAACAAAGTTCTTAAGTTCCGACCGAAGGACGTACGCATGGTCGCAGCATTAATTAGGAGAGCGATATAGCATCTCGGCATACACCGTGAGCGATCTCGGTAAGTTGTCTAGAGATGATATCCAGCTCTTGTCTGATCTCGGGTATCCGATATACAAGGATACACCAAAGGCTTTTGGTAGGAAGAGCGACGGGATTTACACCCTCGGACATTCGGACCTTCCTATCGAAACGTTTTTGGAGCGCATCCATGAATACGGAATCAACGAAATCGTTGACTGTAGGAGTCATCCGTATAGCACAAGACATCCACAATATAATTGTGACGAACTTTCTGCCACGTGCTTTGCAAAAGGTATCGTGTACAGCCACGCTCCCGAACTTGGTAACAGGAACCGGGGAGGGATCGAGGCGAACCTGCAAACGAATCAGGGAATCAGCACAATCGCTAGGATAGTTAGCGAGTTTCATGACGATTATCATCGCGTCCTTCTTTTATGCTCAGAAGCTAGTTGGCGCCGATGCCATCGTCAAACCATTGCACAGCATCTATGGTTGGAGCACTCCAAGCTAGTGGAGCACATCCGTGCTAATGGAATGCTGGAGACTCACCCATACCACCATATCACAATCGAAAGTGATGAGGTGGGAGCTGCGTCGAACGTCGCGACGGTTGGCGCACAGTCGCGTGCTGATCAACTGCCACCAACGGCCGAGCCCACGGATAGCCGTGAAACAGAAACCCAAGCCTTTGCTCTCACCCCTGACGGGGAAGACGCCTTCGGCAGCAGTGTCGATGTAGGTTATATGGCTTCGCTTTTGGACTATCACAAGGCTCCCGTAGAAGTGCAGTTAGGCTTGGACGCCGCGATGAAGACTGAGTGGCAGAAATACACCGAGTTTAACGCTGTGGTCCCTTGCACAGACAAGGAGAGTTCAAGGATCTCACCAAGGCTGGCCACGTTTGTATTCCCACGAAGTGGGTTCTTACCGATAAGAATGAACACCTCAAGGGGACGGCAGCCTATACTCCCAAGTGGAAAGCACGCTTGGTCGCATGTGGAAACTTCGAGCATATCTCGAATGAGGAGGACATCAGGGCAGACAGCCCCACGGCGGAACCAGAAGGCATAGCCCTTATCTGTTCATGGGCAGCCTCCTTAGCCCTGCGGCTCAAAGCAGCCGACATTACGAACGCCTACTTCCAAGGCAAACCCCTTCAACGCCTCCTCATACTTCGTGTTCCCAAGCACCCTAAGGGTGTGCCCGACGCGGAGATCCAGAGAGCCGGGTATATGATTGCCCGAGTCCCCGTATACGGTACTACCGACGCGGGGCGGAACCTTTATCTCCGTATAAAGGAGAGCTGTAAGGCATTCGGCCTGAAAGCCTCCCAGATCTTGTCGGCCCTGGTTTCATTACAGGAGAGAACAACCGCCTATGCGCTTGCCTGTGTACTCACGTGGACGACTTCCTATGGGCAGCGACTGCTGAGGGAGAGCCAGTCATGCCAGTCATCCAGAACTTGCTGGACAAATAAATTTAAGATCGGTCGTATAGAGACCGACAAGTTTCGCTTTTGCGGACGTGAATACGTCCAAGACATCGACGGGACTATCCGCATAAATTGCAGAGACAACACACGAGCGATACGCCCGATTGAAATCCATAAATCGGAGAAGGGCTCAACCCCAGTTTCGAACGCCCAGCGCACAGCGCTGAGGTCAGTGATAGGATCGTTGGCATGGGTAGCTCGCGCTACAAGGCCAGATCTCGCCTACAGGGTGAATGCCCTGCAGCAACGCGTTACAAGTGCCACGGTGGACACTCTCCGTGAGGCAAACCGTGTAGTCGCGCTCGCGCTAGGAGACGCGGAGAGGCCGATTACCTACAGTGCGAAACTGCCCTGGAACACCGGTGAGTTAGCGGTCGTTACGTTTTGTGACGCCTCCTTCGCTGGTGAAGCAAACCACAAGTCCCAACGAGGCCGTTTCCACTACCTCACCTCCGCACAGTCGGCAGTAGACAAGAACGCGTCAGTGCATGAAATGCACCTAATCTCATTCTCCTCGTCTACCATGAAGAGAGCTTGCCGTGCCACGTTGCAGTGCGAGGCCTACTCACTACAGCATGCCATAGAGCATGGTGACCGCATACGCGCGGCCGTGCTCGAGGTGCTTGGCAAGCTACCCCGGTCACAGAACTGGGAAGAAGCCGCAAAGCGGTCGATGTTTCACTTGCAATACACTGACTGCAGATCCCTGTCAGATCATCTGACGGCGTCGATCCCAAAGACGTGTGACGACAAACGTCTCGCAATCGAGATGACAGGAATGCGCCAGGGACTCTGGGAAGAAGACGAGCCGACGCACAGCCTGCATCACCCATACGGTGATGAGTTGCGATGGATCCCTACACATCTTCAACTCGCCGATTGCTTGACGAAGAGCATGAAGCCACTGTTGTTGAACCAGAGCATTGACAGAAATGCGGTGCAAGTGCTCGATGAACCCGCTCCTGCCACGCAGAGCGCACCCGTTGCCGCAACGGAGAGCACAGAAAACTCGCCGCTGGAAAGCTGAGGCTTGACCTGGAGTCTAGAGCGAGTTCGCTCGACTCGGTCGCCGAAGTTAACTCCCGGTATAATCCGGCGAAGTAGGGATGACCCAATGCGGTCTAATTCACGCATGTTTCGGACTTCACACTGTAGATAAGACGGGTGAAAAATTTTCCTCTCTTTTACAGTCCGTGTTGATCGTCCTCATGTCTTTTCCCGTATGTAGTACATGAATCGAGTGCACATGCGAAAGTTGCATGACAAGTCTTGCTGACAACTGTACCTTGCGCAGACGTCTTGGGCTTGAATCGAGAAAATCGGCTAGCTGTTTGTGAACGGACACTCACCAACTGCACTCCTGCTTCTAAAGGGTTTAGGGCACCGCATTCACAGCACTCTGGCAGGGTCGCAGCCAGATGGAGCCAAGATCTTGCCACACGAAGTTGTTATTGTTACACCCACCGTTTGGTTTTTGCAGGGTGTTCGCTGCCACAGCCCGCTTGAGCCAAGCTTTGATGCGCAAAGTTGCTAAACCCCGATTCGGTTTTGGTGTGGTGTTCGCAGCACTTTAATTAGCAGAGTCGCAGCCCAACATCACCAAATTTGCCACAGAAAGTTGCTAAGCCACTGTTTCGTTTGTCTGTGGTATTCACAGCACTCTGGCCGTGCGCCGCAGCCCGGTCGCACAACAATTTGTCGCGCAACAATGCTGCACCGCCCTGGCCGGAAATTTAATCTAGTTCCCAGACCACCCTTCTCGTGCCGAGGTTGGGGGGGGTCTGGGCTGCCGCGCTATTTTCGCGCACCCCTCACCAACATGACCGCCTGCCCTCACCAAATCCGCCCGGCTCTCACCAACATCGTGACGATTTAAGATGTCAACAAAGTGTCATGGTCTGATGGGAGAGGTAGGGAGGGGGTTCATCAAAAACATCAATCTAGACGCCGAAGCCGCGGCAGATGACCAGAGACTTTCATCTTTGCCTGCTCATTATAAGGCTTGAGGCTCACCTTGCAGAGCCAACATTGCCCTCTTCCGGAGACGGACGAAGATGGGGATGACGGCCTTGTTCAAGAGGCTCTACTCGTGGATGACCCCACCACCACCACGCTCAATGACTACTCCTTGCACGCCTGCGATTGCTTCCCCATGTCCTGGGGCATTGAGCCACCGGTCACGGACGAGAGCTTCATGTCAGTGCCCGGAGGCGAAAACCAGTTTGTGCCTGAAGCCATTGAGATCGCACGGGGCTCGCTAATCTGTGACCAGCGCTTCCTCCAGCCTGTTTCGGCCATGATTCTTTTCTCGTCAAGTGAGCTCGACTGCCGCAAGGCTTGTCAAGTACAGTCGACTTGTTCCTTTTATTGGTTTGGTTCGGCTGCGAATTTGCAGCAGTGCCGACTCTACAGCGACTGCAAGGCCTTGTTCCAGGAGCGTGGCAGCAGTGGCGTCTTAGGAGGTATTGTGAGAAGCCACGTGTGCCGCCGAGCAGATCCTGCAAAGTGCTGGACCATCAGCAAGCGCCGTACCTTCCTGCAAACTGGCAAAGAAGATGCTGGCGCTGGCGGTTCTGATGCCGGCATTCTCCCCGCGATTAGCCCGTGCCTTTTCTCGAGGTTGGTGGAGCAGTGCGACTTTCAGCTGCTGCTCGGCGGCTTTGGAGTGGAGCAGTGTTTTGGCTGCACGCATGCGCTGGTGCATGAAGGCGACACATGGCCCGAGAAACGCCACATGCCCCGCCTGTTTTCGCCTGGCAGTCAGCTCCGCTACTCGTGCTGGGCAGAGCGCTACACGGCCGTGACGGTTGTTCAGCCAGGCACGCAAAGTCCCAGCTACAACCTCTCCTGCGCAGGCGGCAAGTGGTGGGGCCCGGCAGGGCAGCTGGGCTTGAGCGGCTTTGCCTGTGGCGCTTGTGTGCAAGTGGTTCCCCCGGACTATGTCAGGTCTGCACCGGATCAATAGGTGTAATTAACTCTGTTTAAACATCTGTCGATGGGGCTCAACCCTACACCCCTAATCCCTAAACCCTCCCCACAGGTACCAGGAGGAGAGAAAGCAGGAGCTCTACTTTGTGCCGAGCCTGGCACTTAAGGTTGTCATTGACCAGCTCATGCCGCTGGTGCTGAATTTTGACGGCACGCTGCAGAAGTTCTTCATCCCCGACTCCGTGCAGGTGGACTTCATGGAGGGTGGTGCAGCACTTTCTCTGCCTCAGCGTGCGGGCTGCTTGAATTGGCTTGGCGGTCATAACGGCAGCTTGGTCATCAGCCCGGAGTGCCAGCCATTATGGTGCCCCACAACTACGGCAGTAGGCTGCCAGGCTCGTCCAGGGGAACTCTTTCTTTGCCGAGCTGACGACCGGTCTCAGTGTCTCTACTCCGAGGGCTCTCAGAAGCTGCTGCTGAATGCCGCTGGTAGATTTTGCCCCACCTCCTTCTCAGCGACGGGAAGGAGGTCTCCTGCCCAAATGCGATCCACAGCAAGGGACGCAGCTTTGCCTGAGGACGCGGCCCTGCTGCAGCTGCGATCACCTGTGTCGGCTTGTGCAACAGGCTGGCCGCAAGGGGCGCTTGAGAAAGCGCCGGCTGTTGATGTATTTGCCTGGGCCGCTCGGCATGGCAACCACGCCGGTCAGGGCGCCTTCCAGCTTCGAAATCAAATTAACGGACAGTGTCTGAAGGCAACGCAGCGGGGCTTGACGTCATCGCCCTGCCAGAGTGACGAGCTGACACAGCGATTTGACCAGGATGCACTGGACGGCTTCTTGCACGAACAGGTCGCCTTGTCGGTCACTAGCCTTTCTGGAGAGGAGAGGAAAAAAGAGGAGCAGCAGAGCTCCCATCCGTTGTTTCGCTTGAGCTTCGGAAAAGATTGTGGACCCTACTGCTTGGCCAACCTCAGCTTCCAGGCGAATGCTTCCACTTTGGAAGGCTGCGATCTTGCAGCTGCGGCTGATGAACCCTCCGCAACTGAGTCTACATTCGCCCTGCCCACCGTGAGATTTTCGAACGGCTCCGCCTGTTTGGTGGTTGTGGTCAACAGAGCCTACTTAGCTTGGAGCAGCTCCTGTGAAAGAGGCTACAGCGACTGGTATCAAAACGGCACCCGGCTCGAATCTGTGCTCTTTCCCGGCAAGTGCATCGAGTTTGAGAAAGGCAGAAACGATTACAGATTTCAGGATTGTGGGAAGGAGAACGGTGAAGATGCACAATGGAATCCGGAGCTGCAGTGCATTTCCAACCGGTTGGCCACTAAGTGCCTGATCTACTGCACTTCTTGTGTGGGCTCTTGGTGGAGCCAACTTCCCGAAGTGGTGGAGTGTGATCGTGTCCCCGAATACTATGCTACCGCTGACCGCCATGCTTCACCATTGCGGCGGCAGGAAGACCTAAACGTGCTCGAATGTCCCAGTGGCTCTCTGATCAGCTATGTGCAAACGAAGGCTTGGAGCGCATTTCTCTTCTACAAGTGCAGCAGAATGGCAACCCTTGGCTCCTGCGAGCCTGTCCTCCCCCCAAGCTACAAGAACAGCGACAAAGCCTTCCGTCAGGCGCCCTTGGAATGCCCCAGCAGTGGAATGGGTCTGCAGCGTGTGCAGATTGACGCGACTGATGCCGAGGGCGCTCTTTCTTTCAGGCTGGAGTGCTGTTACACTGTCCCCTTGTCCACGGCTGTGGGCCCCCTTGGTTTCAGAGTCCCCGGCCTCTGGGGTCAGTTTTCAGCATTGGGGGAGAATGGCGTGTATTGTCCCGTTGCCCGCGACGGAACTGGGCGGCTCACATACAGGCATAGGGACCCAAAAAGGCACATAAGCATAAGCATTTTATAGGGATATCACTACCTTATTGGGCTTCCGTAGAAGGGGGTTTATATGGGATATCCCTATCCTAATTTTTGCTTATGTGCTTTTGGGGGCCCTAAGGCAGCAGCTCAGCTTTCTCGATCCTTCTCTGCCACCCCCAAAGATGGCCTTGTATCTTACCGTTGGTTAGTAGGGAATGGAAGAATGGCAGTAATAGTAGCTATAATTGTACCTCATTCTTCCATTCCCTACTAACCAACGGTAAGGTATTTCAACTTCTCTACCGGCGCCTGGTGTCTCGGCAGCGGCAGCTGCATCCCTAGCGCCGCACTAGAGCCCCTTCAAGAGGGTCCCTTGCAGGGCCCTGATTGGGCCGTGGTACCCGTCGACGATTTCGATGGCATCTTCGTCCAAGGGGATGCAAAGGGCATAGCGGCAGCTGTGGCCAAAGTCAGCCTCAAGGCAAAGCCCAAGCCAACCTTGCTCACCTTTGTCGGCCGCGAGAAATCTGTGGCTCCCGAGTGCAAGGTGCTGGTACCCGATTATGAAACCGTGGGCCAGTTCTTGCCAAGCTCGAACCCATGCTCTTACGTGACCGGTCCCGAGGCCACTGGCTTCGACTACAACAAGGTGGGAGTTTCCGAAAATGGGGGACCCTGATATAGTACCCTAGTAGGATCCTGATTATAAGGGCCCCAAAATAATGAGGTGCCCCCTAATCTTTTGAAAACTCCCAGGTGCTAGGCTGCTTCAAGCGCCAAGGGGTGCGTGACAGGCTTGCCACGGCCTACACCAGCGATACTTCGATTGCGGGCTGGACCACTAACACCGTTGGCAAAGCTTTAGACTGGGTTTGTGAAGTCTATGGTGCGCAAATCCTTGCCCCCGTCGGTCTGGGTGAAGAAATTTCAGCTTCTGGCGTTTGCGCAGCATCGGCGGATTGGCACATCGCATTGACCCAAAATGCTTTCCGAGTCGCCGGGTATGCAAAAGAAAAGAAGCTTGCAGTCGAGTCCAGCAATGATTGCGGTGGCCAAACGGCTGCATTCTCCAGGCTGTGGTGCGACCTCCACTGCGTCAAGGATGCTGTCCTGAAGGGCAATGCGGCGATGAGGACGAACCTCGAAGAAGCTGTGCGGGTTGTGAATCAGAATGTCGATGCCCTCACCGAATACTATGCAGGCCTTCTGAATCAGAAGCTTGACGTGCTTTCCGAACGCCTGGATGAGTTCACAAGTCAGAAGCCCACTCTGCAAGTTGAGGATCTGCGAGCTTCGCTGAGCTCACGCTTGGCGACAGTAAGCAAGCTCCTGTCGGAAGGAGAGCTGGACACGGTGGGCCTCACCGCCTCCCATCGGGCCCTGGGAAACTTCTTACTAGATATGCGCTTGAACCTTGAGAACCTGAAGAACGCCACAGCTTCGGAGGCCGGGGCTTCTTCTTCCATGGAAGAAGGCATGGAGTATGTGCTCGGCAGGACCGACGCGCTAGAACACGCCGTCGCAGTGCTTGCAAGGGGTCGCAAGACTTCGAAGAGCCGTGCGGTGGGTGAGCTCACAGTTGAGGCAGCCAGGCTCATGCAGGAGCCTCGGGGTTCCTTTAAAGGTTTCCTTAAAGGGGTCTATAAGAGATCTGTAGTAGGGTTTCTATAAGATAGGGGCCTTAATAGTTAGTTAGAATGCAGGAGGTGGCCCGTTCCCGGAACAACCTCCTCGGCGTCTACAGCCACCGTTCCTCGGAGTGGAAGAATCGCCAAAAGCAGCTGCTTCGAGGGGCGGAGAGCAAAAGCCTCCTGGAATCCGACAGCACTCTAAGCCCCATCAACCCTCTAAGCTCTGTAAACCCTGGTGATGTTTGGCAAGTGCTGGTGTCCTTGGACGGCACCTGGTGGAGTCTCCGGGCCTCGCTGGACAAGTACTTGAACCAAGCCCGGCGCCATGCCAAAACTTACCTGGCAGCTGCCAAGGTGCGAGGAAGGGGTACGAAATCAAGGGTCCTGATAAGTGTCCCACGATTTAGGGTTCTACATTCGAGCCCTCAAATGACGGATCTCACTGTTTAGGGTACTGTATCAGCGTCCCGTATTTCCCGCAACGTCCAGATGCTTCACGGCTACGTCGGCTGCTCCGCTCGCTTCGATAAGATGCAGACACGCTACAGGGACTTCCTGAAAGCCGAAGAGGAGCACTTGAGACTTGGCCGAAGATGAGGGGTTTAGGACTTAGGGTTTAGGGCTTTGGGTTTAGGGTCTTGGGCACCCTAAACCCTGAATCCTAAACCTCAAAAGTGTGATACGTGCTGTGCTTCTATGTGCTTGAGATGATGGCTTGTTGTCATGTGGGAGATTCAATATCCCTAAACAAAGCAGCCCCTGAACCCTAAACCCTAATCCCCACTAACCCTAATCCCTAATCCTTAAACCCTAATCCCCAGATCCAAGACCCTCATCCCTAAACAAGGTAGCCCCTGGCAGTATCAGCCCGGGGCCTTTCCTACTTCCCTCAAAGCCGAACGGGTGACCAAACCCTGAGCCCCAAACCCTACCTCAACCCTGAACAACCAACCTTTTCAGGGTTCCTTACTATGATTTCCTTATAGAAGTCTTTAAAAAAGGTAGGTTATTCGGCGTTAAGGTAGCGGATGCAAAAAGCCCTCAGTTCCAAACTCTAGTGGATGGGAAAAAGCCTTAAACCCCAAACCCTAAAGAAAACCCTACCCCAAACTCCTCCAAGAATCTTGATCCCTAGACACGAAAAGAATCCTCAGCCCTAAACACCAAAATACGCCCGAAGCCATAAATCCGAAAAGCGTTTAAACGCCAAACGCTTAAAGCCTTTATAGGAACCCGTATAGGATCCCTTTAATGGGCAGCAAAAACCCAAAAGAGCTCGCCTTGTGAGGAAAGCTCTGAAGGAGGTCTGGGCTGCGGCGGTCCCCTCTGCCGGCCTCCTCGTCTCTTTGTCATAGTTGGGTAACATTTTACGGTTTAGGGTTATGGGTACTTAAAACCTTTTAGGGTTTAGGGGGTATGGGTACGTAAGCCAACAATGCGATCCCATCCATGCACTAGGTCTCGAAACTCGTGGACAGCAACGCCTTGGTGGGAGTCTGCAGTGCTTTTGTTGTTTCGTTTTTAAATTTCAAAGGATACTAGAGTAGAGTGTAATATGTTATAGTATTTTGTTTCGTATACTACAGACTATAGTATGCGAAGTTGTTTACCCTAGTATAGTATCGTATAGTATCGTATACGTTAGTATACTACAGTAAGACTAGACTATAATAGACTATACATGTATGGGGACCCGAAACAGGTGAAGCTCAGCGTAGCAGACGCGGAGGTTGCTCGGGAGGAGCTACTGCAAGACAACGTGTGCCAAAGGAGCGGGCCCGCCTGAAGCCATGAGTTTAGATTTAAGGGCTTATATGAGCCTACTACCGCATACTTTAGTATGCTTTAGTATACTTTAAACCTTTGTATAACTTTAGTAAAAAACATACTGTACTATGCTCTAGTACATGTAGTGTACTATAGTCTATGAAGCGTGCTATCTGGTCTTGCACAGCAAGGGGCAAACACAGCCGCGCAACTGTTTTTGCTTCGCGAGTCCACGCACGCTCAGTCCCTAAGCAGCGCCGCGTCGCGTGACCGACTGCAGGTGTGCAACTCACAGAGCTACACGACCTGAAGTACAGCCGTGCACACTTGGCGACAGGATCTCTTTCTGGAGATGCGGCGGCATTTTGCGCAGGTACGAGAGGTACAGCTCTTGAGGCGTTTTGCCTAAGCCGACCGCCTCCAGGTCCGCGATCGACGCTTCGAAAAGCGGCTCGAACTGGTGACCTGTGAGCCGACCCTTATGGGTGAGAGCGACGTGTTCACGGTCCAATCTCACGTCTTGCTTCTGCCGGTTCTCGCCGAACATCAAGTGCTTGTTCTTGATGCGAAGGTACACCGCCGCTGGGTCCGAGATGACCTCTCCGGACTTCCAGGCAGCCCGGTAGGCGTTGGTGTCTTCTGGCGACAGCCCTTGCAGCGGGCACGAAGAGCAAGAAGCTTCTCTCGCACGCTCATGCCGCGACAGTCATTCACGAGCGCGCAGACGTCTTCAAACTCTTCGTAAAAGAGCACCACGTCTTTGGTCTCAACTTTTATCATACGTCAGCGTCGGCCAGACGAGATCCGTCTTGACCGACGTGATCGGATTGTGCCCGCCGCGGGAGGACAGAGCCTCCTTCAAGGCCTCTGTCTGCTCCTTCAGAGCAGCAGCCAGGTCCACGGCTGCCTGTCCGCCCCCGTCGGTCACCGACGCGCCACCGTCTTAAGGCTTCGATCTCCATTTCGATTGCGGCCAACCTGGCCCGCAACGGGGAGTCGCCACGGCCAAAGCCGTCCGCGCTCTGCCGGGCGGAAGCGGCCTCCTTTGCTGGGGCGCCAGACTTGGCCGCCACCGGAGCAACCGCTGGCGCTTTGGCAGGCTTTGGCGGTGCGGGGTGGTCGGCGGCGGCGGAGAGTTTGCCGCTTCCGCAGGACCTTATCGGCACTGGCGCTCTGCCTGCCGCCGAGGGCAAGAATGAAGTCGCCGATCGCTTAAATCTCTTTCTGCACGTCGGCGGCATCGCTGGCTTCCTCTCCTTCCTTCAATGCTGCGACCGAAAACCTGGTCCGCAAGCGTCTGACCATCCTGGTCGGGTGCCAGTCGCCCCCGACCTGGCCGAACTCCTCCGAGAGGAGTGGCCTTCGCGGTGAGCGTGTCAAGCTCACCGGACGAAACCACGATGCCACGCGCACGCAGTGCCATGACAATCCGAGCTATCCTCGTGAGATAGTCCGCCTTCCTCTTCGGGCGAGGTAAAGACCCCATTGCGCTTCTTGAGCGGACGCGATCCTGTCTCCCTCCGCCACATCAACCATTGAGCCCATACGCTCAGGGTAGGGAACGGCCCCTGACTCGATGCATTCGAGCAGGGTCATGCCCTCAGGCTGACCAGCGACCTTCGACATGGAGGCCGCAGGGCACGGCAACGCGCCGCGCCTTCCGGCCGCGAGCGCAGACCTAAGTCCACGGGGACTGGCGTGCTGACCCCCAATTGTGAAGCGCGCTAGCTGGTCTTGCACAGCAAGGGGCAAACACACGTGCCGTCTCGTCCCCGAGATAGCGTCTTATTCTTGACTTCTTGAAAATTCAAAATATGTTTTTCAATTGTGCCGCACTTCAAGGACTTCGGGTCACACATGCTGTTTGATCCAATGGCGCTTGACATATGCAGATTGGCTCTCAGGTGCGAGAGAAAATTTTCTTGGGGCCCCTCTAAAGACCCGTACTTCGTCTAACAGGTTCCGGGTGCTATCACAAGGCTGCTCCCTAGGAGCCAGTGCACGCCGGCTGTGGCCGGCAGATGGATAGCGCCTCAATTGGAGGGCCTCCTTTGCTGCTTGTCGCAGCTCAGCCTGAGCTCTGGCATTGCATCGTTTCGTGCTTGAGGACACATCGTGCTCGCTGCTTGCGAGCTGCCTGCGTCTTGCTTCGACGGCAACACGTGTTGCTCTGGATTTGCCCCGGAGGCTTCAGCGACTCCTCGGACTACTCTCTGGAGGATTGACAGTGCCAGCAGGAAGGACAATAGGGGAAAGTAGTTTGGTTGTCATTTTTGCAGTAGCTTCTCCCGATGAGAAGCGGCCTACCTGACTCGCCCGACTGGGGCGACAGTGATGCTGAGCTTGCAGGTGAGCAGGGCTTTGCCTGGCCGGCGGACAACTGTGTTGAGCCTCCCGACCGCGGGGATGGCGAGTCCGACGGTGAGGCCGCAAGCTCCTTGAGCCATGAAGGCGCAGGGATTGGGTCTTCTGGTTTTCCGGGGCTTCGGCTTTGGGTTCTTCAAGAGATCAAGCTTCCACTGACTTAACTTCTGATGGCCAGAGTGGCACATGCACTACGAACATGGGGCTTGCCTTTGTGCACGCCTTCAGCAGGTTGTCGGAGCCCAGTGCCTCGCCCTCTTTGCAGCTGCCGTGGGAGACTCCCTTAATGAAAACCATTTTCGAGCCTTTGACTGAGGCTCTGCCCGAGCTTAAGAAACCCTCTTTAGGCCTCGCCGACTTGTCCCCTCCCGAGTTTGCGAAGTATCTACCCGATGCAAGTAGCAGTGCAAGTGCTGGGAAGCCGATACAGCCGAGCCTCGACTTCAAGGCAGGCCATGCTGCCGAACAGGCCATCAGAATGCTTGACGACGACGACTTTGAGAGAAAGCAGGTTAAGCTTATGAACACCTGTATCGCAAAGTGGCATGTCATTGCTTTGAGGTATTCGGATGTCTTTGAATTGCCTCGGCCGTCGGACGAGGAGATTTCGGCAATGATGGGTACTCGGTCAGTGCATACTGTGCTTGCCAGAGCAGGGTCCATGCTCCAATTCATTAGGTGGTGTGACACGGTGCGTGGCAGCAGCGACTCGATGTTTACTGATGAAGCCTACTGGGGCTATCTGCAGTTCCTCAAGACGAGTCGCGCGAGTGCTTCCCGAGGATCCTCTTTCCTCTCTGCAGTGAGGTTTGCTTGGCATGTCATGGATCTCACAAAAATCTGCGGCTCGCCGTCGCGGCGATGCGTGGGCCTGTCAGAGCAGATGTCTGCTGAAAGAGGCACGCTGCGCCAGTCGGCGCCGTTACTAGTGCAACAGGTGCTGCAGCTGCGCCACATGCTGCATAGCGGTCTTGTGTCCAAACTTGACAAGGCTTTTGTTGCATATGTTTTGATTTGCTTGTATGCTCGTTGCAGACAGAGCGACCTGGCAAAAGTGTCCTACATTGAAGTGGATGTCTCTGAATCAGGACTTGAAGGATATGTTATTTTCTACACGCGCCAGCACAAAACTGCGCGAGCTGCTCGAAGGTTGTCGCAAATGCTGCCCATCCTTATGCCAGTTTGTGGCATTGATGATCAAGAGTGGTTCTTGACGGCGCGGTGTGCCATGGAGGACATATAGCCTTAGCCTGGAGGGAACCATTGGTGGTCCTGTCTTCAGGCCCCCGATTGATTTTGTTGAGGGCAGGCTTGCCCGGCGAGGAATCACATCCGAGGAAGTTTCTGCCTTCTTGAAGTTAGTTGTGCCGAGCCACGACAGTGCATCACGCATCGCATCCCATAGCCTCAAACGTACAATGCTTGCCTGGTCGAGCAAGGCCGGTTTGTCTAGTGCGTCTAGGGCCATTCTTGGCAGGCATGCAAAGTCCGTGGAGAGCTCTGAGGCCATTTACAGCGTTGAGCTCGGGCTTCCAGCTGTTAGACAACTGGAAGGCATCTTGAGGCAGGTGCGGGACAAAGAGTTTAGGCCGGACGCAAGCCGTGCTGACATGTGGCGATTTCCGCCATCGCCTCCCGTCACCGTTGCCGGCGCTAGAGTGTCGAAGCCCTTGAATCCCCCGGTGGAGATCAAGTCTGAGTCTGAGGCCAGTGATTCAGAGTCTTCAAGCTCGGAAGAGTCCAGTGAAGGTCATTCTGATAGCTCTGATTCTTCAAGTGGCAGCCCGCCTGCGCCCAAGAGGCGCCCTCAGGTCGAGTCCCGAAAACTCATCCCTTCGGACAAGGGTGGTGAGTGGGTCGTGCACAAGCGGTCGCATGTGTGGCACTGGACGTATGGTGTCAACATGTTGATGTGTGGCCGAAAGAGGAATCACATGTACATTCTGTCTGATAAGGACGAGCCATCCGGGCCGGTGTGCAGTACGTGCCGCAGGAACAAGGGTTCTTGAGCCCCAGTGGCAAAGGCCACGCTATGAACCTGTGACAAGGGTCACTGCTGAGGGAGAAATTGTTTGGGCTGTGCGCGCTTGTTTCTGTTGGTGTGTTTTGTCGGTGTGCGCCGAGTATGCAGTCTCTGACATGTGTCAAGGAAGTTAGGATTCGGAGTCACATGGTGACGAACAGAGCAAGGGCTCAAGACCAAGGGGTCAGAGGCATGGCCTCGACATGTCTCCATCGTGGGATTGCACAAGTGAAGGAATTTTCATGTCATGTTTGTGTACTTGACAACCTTTCTAGTGTCAGTCGTCTTGTTGCTGTAGTGCGGCTCGATCCGGTGTGTCATGACGTCCCTCCTCGAGAGCGAAGCCCACCTGGATAAGCGCGCTGCTGAGGTGAAGTTCTCTGAGACGGCCTTCAAGAGTCTCAAGTCCCAGGGGTTCGTAACCCTGGGACAGCTCGCATATAGCGTCGGGCAGCCTGGGCAAATCATTCCAGAGGAAGCGTTTAGTCAATTCGTCAAGGATACGATCCCCCGTGCATCGGGGGCCGACTCAGCTTGCTTGCGTCGCCTCATATTTGAGGCGCAAACTTTAGTGCTGGCTGATTTGCGACAACAGATTAGCGATCCCGACGGAGCATCGCGGAAGGTTCCGGAGGCTGAACGCGAGCAACGCTTAGCTTCATTGCGGAAGCAATTGCCTGGGCTTCTCATAGAGGGGCCAACGGAGCCGGGAAAGGCCCTCTTGGACGAATGCGCGAGCCACGAGAGTGCTTGCCAGCTTAAGTACATCAGCCCAGACCGCTGCATCTCTAGGACCTTTGAAGTCACGAATTATAAGAAGACTCCTAGACAGCTTGAGCTGGATGCCAATCACCTTGTTGTAAGGAATCAGGATGATGAGCTCACCATGCCTTCGCATTCAGCGCTTCAGGTGCAGGAAGCCTTCCTTAGGCGAGGCCTCGCCTACGTCTTCAGCCAGAGTGTTTCCTTTGATGCTTATTCGAGGTACCTCTCGAAATTGTTCTCGCATATATCCATCGCGAGCCGCCACCGAACCATGCAAGGACCTCCGTGGCACGCCGACAAGCTGGTCTGGACAAGGCTCATCGAGAGAGGTGTTAAGCCACGAAAGGATGCCACTGGAGCCTTCCCCCTGGACTCAGAACTTATGCAAGCTCTGGAGAGCTATGAAGTTTCCTTCGGACTGATGCCGCTGCGAAGTGGGTCCAAATGGGAGCCTCGCAAAAAGTTCAAAGGTGCAGGCAAGGATGGGAAGGACGACAACAAAGGCCCAGGGAAAGGCAAGGGTAAGAAGACAACGAAGGGTTTCCCTAGTCAGGCTGGTTGGGGCTTAGTGCCTAGGGAGATCCTTAAGCTGGGTGGGGTTGCTTGTACGCCGCAAGGTGATCAGCTGTGCTTCTCGTACAACCTTCAGGGTGACAAGTGCAAATGTGATGCAGCCACCTGCCCACGCAAGCATTTGTGTTGCAAGTGCTTCCAGCCACACCCAATCGTGCAGCACAAGGATTGAAATATCGGCGGGGTGGGGGAGAGTGAATCCGACTTCAGATCCTCCCATGACCCGTTTGTGCAGCCCTCGGCTCCCTCGGGGCCCGAAAGCAGTGAAGGCTCAGGTGTTCCTCGAGCCATAACCCCTATGAATCCCAGTGTCGCTGATGTTGTGCATGTTTCCGACTCCGATGATGATAAACTTAGTGTGGCCTTGTCGTCAGCTCCTTCTGCCGAAGTTGAGCTCGAGACTACAACTTGTGATGCCGAAACTTTTGCAGCTCGCCTTTTGAAGCAAGCGGTCATCTCTCGTGATGCGATCCTTGCCCTTGTACGGCTGCTGCCTAGAGAACCGCCCCACACTGCAAAATCTGATGAGCTCCCTCATCCTCAGGGTGCCTTTTACGCTGGCATGTACCGCAAAGGCAATGGCATCTCGGGTCTTCGAAAATCATGTCGGGAATTCCCAATGTCTGTTGCTGCCATCAATGCGTTCATAGCTAAAGCTCTGCCTACGGCCTCGTACAACGCATTTGCCATACCTGACAACGTTGCTTCCCCAGCGCACCGTGACTTGCAGAATGAGCCAGTGGCCAGTCATGTCTTGGCCCTCTCTGCTTTCGCAGGTGGGGGAATCCGGGTGCAGTGCCCTCGAGGGGCCGTTTGCCGTCGCGTCGCTGGGGTTAGCACTCCCGGCAAAGTGCTGGCCCTTGACAAAGGCCCTGTGCAGCTTGATGCTTCGTCGAGCTTGCACTCAACGGAACCTTGGCAAGGTGATCGTGTGGTCCTCTCGTGCTATACCTTGAAAGGCTATGACCTCTTGACGGCCGACCAGTGCAATAGTCTATTGCAACTCTCCTTCCCATTGGCCTTGCAGGTTGGGGAATGTGCTCGCCCATCGCCTGTGGACTATGCGGCCCTGCGCGCCGCCACGGGCATACAGCCCAAAGCCAGCAAGACCGTACCCTTGGTACCTGAACATCGTGCGGTCGTCGTTGTTCGAGGCCCGGCCTCCCTGCTTCAGCCTCCATGTGCCCTCAGGCAACGCCTCGAGTCCGACTGGGCTGTGCCTGCCTCGTGCACGTGTGCTCTGTCTTCCATCCCCAAGAATTCCCAACTTCTTCGGAGCGACTTGCTTGATGTTAAGGCTAATGAGGGAAGTTCTGGAAAGGTTTCTGGAAAGGTGCTTGAACTTGCGTGGGGGATACCTTTCTCGCCCTCCGAGTTTGTAGACTGTGCAGTGGCTGCGGGCCACCCCTCCTTCCTCGAAGCGAACCTCCCGCAGGAGCTGCAAGAGGCGATCACCGCCTCTTCAAAAATGACCCCCAAAAGTCTGGCCTCGCATAGGCTAAGGGTGCTTAAGGAATGGTCCCGCAGAGCAAAAGACCTTGAGAAGGATGAGAAAGCATTTAAAAGTTCCCTTCACCCCGAGGTTCTACCGATACTTTCCCCCAAACGCCTTCTCCTCTTTAAGAGCCTTCTGCAAGAATATGGTTACCCGGACTTAGATGCCTTCAACGAGCTTGTCAGTGGGGTCAGCTTGACCGGTGATGCTCCACATACTGGGATCTTCAATGCGGCAGAGAGGCACGCCTCTATGACTGAGGCCGAACTCAAAGCGCAGGCGAAGGTCATTCAGCAGGAGGTCCTTGCAAAGGTCACCAGTCAAGGAAATGAGATTGATGCGATTGTGAAACAAAAGACGGAGGAAGAAGTGCGGAAAGGTTGGCTGGTAGGCCCCCTGGAGGCTGATGACCTGCCTGAGCATGCCATCATAAGCAAACGCTTTGGTCTGCCACAAGCTTCGGGAAAAACACGCCTCATCGATGATTTCTCAATTTCGCATGTCAATGAATCTGTTGGGGCTGATGAATCGCCGAAACCGCATACCGCAGACGTGCTTTGTGCAATGACCCTTCAGGCCATGCGGGCCTTTCCTGGAAGGAAGTTCGTGGGTCGTGCCTACGACCTACAAGCAGCCTATAGGCAAGTCCCTGTTCATCCCTCATCATCGTGGGCGTCGTATGTCGCCTATTATGATTGTGAGGAGAAGAGGCCTCGCATATACAGGTGCCGAGCCTTACCGTTTGGAGCAACCAAATCCGTATATGGATTTCTACGCATCTCGCACGCGCTTTGGTGGCTGGGAGTGGTGGCGCTAAAGCTGGCTTGGTCACTGTATTACGACGACTTTGTCGTTCTCTCTGAATCTTGCCTTGCGAGCAATACCGACAGTGCAATCCAGATCTATTTCACTCTTCTTGGTTGGGCCTTTGCGAAGGACGGGTCCAAGGCTGAGCCCTTTAGTGAGCTTGTCACGGCATTGGGCGTTCGCTTGTCCCTCACTGGTTTTCCTTCGGGCCGTGTTGAGCTGTGCAACACCGAGTCCCGTACCAACGAGCTGTGTTCGTCGATCCGCGCAATCACGGAAGCCAATACTCTGACCAAAAGTGCCGCGCTTAAGCTCCGTGGTAGGATGCAGTTTGCTTGCGGGCAGGTCTTCGGTAGGTTGGCCAAGGTTTGCCTCAAGCACCTCACTGATTTTGCCTATGGTGATCTGCCTCCACATGTGCCGGCAAATCTTTTGCATTCACTTAAGGGATTCTGTGGGGTCCTCAAGGAGGCCACTCCTAGATTGATTGGTGCAGGTCATGCGACAGGAACCGATGTTTGTTTTCACCGATGCTTGCTTTGAGCCCTCGGCCTCAGACTGGAAGTGCGGTATTGGCGGAGTCTTGTTCAATCATCGTGGTGATCTTATCGGTTCCTTCTCTCACTCCTTGAGTGCCCGGCATCAGGATCTTCTTGGTGCGCAAGTCCAAAAGACGATAATCTTTCCCGCCGAACTTCTGGCTCTCATTTGTGGGATGAGGCTATGGCTGTCGGCCCTGAAAGGGCGGCCCACTGTTTTCTTTGTAGACAACAATTGTGCTCGCGATGTTTGCATCTCTGGGTCAGGCCGCGCTGCTGTCATCAAGGCCCTGCTGCGTGTGCTTCTCAAGGATGAGGAAAGTGCGGGCGTTGCTGCGTGGTATCAGAGGGTACCAAGCCCCTCAAATCCTGCAGATGAACCTTCAAGAAGGAAATGTCATCACGTTGCAGTCGGTCGCAAGATTGTCAAGTGCACTGATGTCGAAGAGGTAGTGGAAAAGATTTTTGCCGAATTTGAGGTTAATAAGGGAAGTCTGTTGTAGGTCCCTGTAGGGAGAGGTGTGCACACCCGTGGCCCGCCGTGGCAGTGCACCCTCTCTAAGTCCCGACCCTGTAGGCTTAGGCTTCTTTAAAGGCGAATCTAAGTGCTTGAAATCTCGAACTGAGATGATAAAGCAAGTGTCGCAGCACCTGCTGCGACAAAACGTGGAGTGCTCCCTTGCTACCGACGGAAAAGAGTGTTGAGTGTGCGTGTGCATTGTGAGTGAAGCCTGCATCGTCTGTTGCTCAGACTTGTGTAAGTTTTGTGCGGCTCTTGGTTCAAGAATAAACGTGCCGTCTCGTCCCCGAGATAGCGTCTTATTCTTGACTTCTTGAAAATTCAAAATATGTTTTTGAATTGTGCCGCACTTCAAGGACTTCGGGTCACACATGCTGTTTGATCCAATGGCGCTTGACATATGCAGATTGGCTCTCAGGTGCGAGAGAAAATTTTCTTGCCCACCCACGCCGCCCTGGGAAGTCTGTTGTAGGTCCCTGTAGGGAGAGGTGTGCACACCCGTGGCCCGCCGTGGCAGTGCACCCTCTCTAAGTCCCGACCCTGTAGGCTTAGGCTTCGCTAAAGGCGAATCTTAGTGCTTGAAATCTCGAACTGAGATGATAAAGCAAGTGTCGCAGCACCTGCTGCGACAAAACGTGGAGTGCTCCCTTGCTACCGACGGAAAAGAGTGTTGAGTGTGCGTGTGCATTGTGAGTGAAGCCTGCATCGTCTGTTGCTCAGACTTGTGTAAGTTTTGTGCGGCTCTTGGTTCAAGAATAAAGCCGCGCAAATGTTTTCGCTTCGCGAGTCCACGCACGCTCAGTCGCCGCGTCACGTGACCGACCGCAGGCGCGCAACTCGCAGCTCTACACTATCTGAAGTACAGCCGTGCACACTTGGCGTAGTAGCTAGAACAAGGCACTTGTGCCAAAACGTTTCGTTTTAGACAAAACATACAAATTTACAAGAACATGCAACAACTACAGCTGGCAGAGACCCGTGCACATGACGCACTGACATGTATGTGCACTCACAAGTCTCCTGTTTCTGGCTGTTCGGGCATTAGACTGGGGGATGGCGTCCTTCCATTGCTTTACTGGGACACAATAAAACATGTCTTAGGGTACTATATGACCTTATATTGCACCGAATTTACTCCATGCCATACTAGACGACAGTATGCTGTAGCACCGTACGCGATACGTATACCAGCTTTTTCTGCTGCAAGCGACTTTGTCTGCAAGAGTGCCTCGTCTTCTGGGCCCTAAATCCTAGACTTTTGGGGCCTGGCGAGGCTCGGGAAGAATGGGACGGAGCTCCAAGCTTTGGTGGTGCAGCGGCTCTACGCTAGTTTGGATGCCGGGCTCTCGGGCCAGACAGTGCAACAGCTGCTGGTCCTCATGCAGGAGCTGGGCTTAGGGTTTAGGGTTTAGGGTTTAGGGGAGTTAGGACGTATTTGGGCTGGTTCAATGCCAGTACCATACAACTACAAGGGGTTGTATAGTAGCACATCCAGGAGCAGTGTAGCAGTAGTGTCGGAATGGCAGCGTCAGACAGTTCGACCCGCTACTTAGAGCCTGCAGCAGGAGCTGAACATGCTCCAGACCAGCTTTTCCGACGTGGGCAGTGTCCCAGACGATGTTGACGTCATGGTGCAAACTATTAAGCGGGCTCAAGCAGTACTCGAGGAGCTTAAACAGCAAACTTTACAAGCCCTAAACCCGATATACCCTAAACCTTATAAGGCCTAAACCCTATAACCTATAAGCCCCAAGGGCTCTAAACCCTAAAACCTAAAACCTGTTCTGGAGGAGAGCATGGCTCTACGGTCGCATTTGGCCCGGAAGCTCTCCAAGATTTGTTTTGAGATGCCAGAAAATGCGAAGGTGCTGTAATGGTCCTTTTCTGGCTTTATGCCAGCCAAATGAGCTCAGCGAATCGACGCTGAGACGAATCTTCCGTCTTCGCTTCGTCCCACACGGTTGGCAAGCTGAAGGCATCGACATCCTAGGTTCCTGAATAGTACTTTATTGCCCTTTTTGTTTTATGGTCCCCTTATTTAAAAAACCGAATTGTAGGAAAAAGTGTGCCCATACCATAAAGGAGCTACTCAGGAACCTAGCATCTGCAATACTTCCGTGTGCCAACGAGCCACGCAGCTCCGCAGTGCAAAATCAGGGCGTCAAAGAGCAGGTTCTTCAGCTGCAGACTTAGACCCCTTGAGCTCAGAGTCTTTGCTTGGAGATGCATAACAATTCGAAGCTACTGTAGCGGTCCTTTTCTGGCTCTACGCCAGCCAAAGGAGCTCGGCGAGTCGACGCTGAGACGAATCTTCTTTCCGAAAGGCGCTTGTGCCGCCGCCATCTTCGCTTCGTCCCACAGGCTGGGCAAGCGACATCCTAGGTTCCTGGGTAGTACCCTTTTGCCCTTTTTGTTTTGGGGTCCCTTTATTAAAAACGAGTAGTAGGAAAAAGGTTACTTACCCAAATTATAAGGGGGGCTACTATGGGCTACTCAGGAACCTAGTATCTGCAATACTTACGTGTGCCAACGAGCCACGCATCTCCGCAGTCCAAACCACGGTGTCAAAAAGTAGCTTCTGCAGCTGCAGACCGAGACCCCTTGAGCCCAAAGTCCTGCAAACACAGAGGTTTCGATCCCATCCGCTGACAGCTTTGAAGCCTGGATGCTCACCCGTCTCGTCCCAAAGCCTGGTGAACCGTCTCCTGCTTTTAACATCTAGGCTTTCGCTGTTGGGGCCTCCTCGCCAGCACCTGCTGCGACCAGGCACTTTGGGGTGAGCAACTCGGGGTTCGGGGTTTCGGGTGGAGAGTTCAGGATGAAGGATCCGGGTTCAGGGTTCAAGATTTAGGGTCTAGGCCTGAGAGTTTAGGATGTGAGGCGAGGGGAGCGTTGGTGAGGCGAGGGGAGCGTTTAAGGATCCGGGACTGTCTGTGTAGGCAGGCGTCTTCGGGGTTGCGGGTTCCGTGGCTGCCAAGCCCTAAAGCGACAAGCTTAAACCCTACACCGGGATGCGGTATACCAATTGCGCTGAGATCTTGCTTGAAGGCCCGCTGGGCTTAGTAAGTAGACATCATGCATAGTAATCGGTTGGTAGACTTATGATTTGACTTATCCCACTTAGCATAACTCCACTTAGCAGCGATAGCTAAGTCAACTTATCGTAGCTACGTCATTCTTAGACTAAGTCTGCTACGTCGACTAAGTCGTTTCAAAGCTGATCGATTTGTGATATAGACATGCATTTTCGAACCGTGGGCCTCCGACTTAGAGGAGTGTGTCATACAATCATTTACGCAAGAACCGCCATTGATTGCGGGGCTGCAAGCTCGCAAGCAGGTCTGTTTTTCATGGCAGCACCGCGAATGCATTGTCGTCTTTCAGAACGAACGGACAGTTGGCCTGAATCAGCCGTGTCTCCACCAAGAGAACCTCGAACTGTGAAAACGGTCCCATTCACATGTGGCCATACGGTGACATGGCTGTAGCATGTGCCGTTTATCGAGACATGGTAGCCAACCCGTCCGACCACTTGCGAGCCGTCCACCTCCATCACTACGACGTCCTTTGCCGCCACTGGCAGGTTCCCTCCCTGAATGTCGGCAGCCTGCCCGAAGACCTCTCGCAGCTCTGTCTGGAGCTTGGCAGGGCATTCTCGCACTGGGGGACTTAGGTGCGCACCGTCCTGAACTGCATGCGTTACATTTTTTGTTTCAGGAATGTTTTAGGAGGCTGTGAATCGTTACACGCATGACATGCCTACATGCCTACGTGTAGCCTGGCTTTAGCACATCAGTTTCTCAGCGAGATCAGCTCCGAGTGGCATCGCTTCGTTTTGATTGCGTGTGCACGTTCTGTTTGTGCATGAGTTTGGACAAGTAATCTTGGTTGGAGAAGTTGCAAGCTCATGTCTTGCGCGCATGCTGTCGGAATGATTGGAATGATTGGAGGTGTACTAGTTCTTGCAGGTTGCTTTGAAAGCAGGACCGGGGTTGCACAGCCGTTACATACAGCGCACCTTTTCCCAAGCCATCGGGGACCCCGGGACCTTTGGTCGACACACCAAACCAAAAGGGAAATTTCCTCAAAGATCAAATCGCAGGAAACTTTGAATAAGATAGTACCTAAACTTAAATCAGTATTGAACCCCAAGCCCAAAGCTTCGACACCACAATCTGTAAACGTCAAATGCCGTACAGGTCTTAAACGAAACCTTGAAAATTTACAAAGCTTGAAGTTTCCAAAAGTTCTACGTGAGTGCAAACTCGCGTGATGTTCCGATGGATGATTATTTGGGAGCTTGTACGGAGTATAGGTGTATCATTGTGTTACATTGGATTTGTTTGGGGTGCCGAAAACAAGGGGCTTGCTTTCGCTTTGTCTGTTATGCTCATACTGGCCTTCGCCATTGTGCTGAGGTATAAGCCCGCTGTTGGCGAGCTGCTCAGAATTGCCGAAGCAGATGCAGCTGCTCCGAGTTTTCCTCTTAGTTTTCTTTCTTTCGCTTGGGCACAGACGGTGCGTCCGTCCTTGCGACTTGCAAGGCTTCGTGCTTCTTCTGCAGGTGAAGCAGTGGGTTTCGCTCACCAGTTCAGACAAAGATATGTGGGCTACGAACCATGGCAGTGCATCTGCCGCAACACAAAGAATTCGGAGTGGCCTTGGGAACTGTGTCCGAAGCCTTCTCGTGCGAGGCCCGATCTCGAAGCGACTAAACGAGCTTCTGTGGCGGACGGACTGGCTGCAGGCTTGTGCGGCAAAGATGCCACATTAGCTCACCAACTTGCGGATGCTTGTTTTTTCGTACTCAGTTCACATCAATGGTTTCGTGGCTTCTTGACAAACACAGATTCGCGGAGCGACATCCCCGACAGTCTTTTTGCAGGATGTGCTCGCTCTGATCGGCAGCCATTTTGGTGCAAAAAAGTTTTGGTCGCCCCCTGTGTAGGTGCCGTGGACTTGAACCACTTGTGCATCTGAAGCCCTGCGATGTCGACACCAAACCGGTTCGGCAGACCTGCCATGGCCAAGAACCTGTTGCTCACGTACTGCCTTGTGGTCTTGTACGGCTTCGGCAACCAGCTTCAAGCTCCTCTGGAGCCCTTCCTAGTCGAACAGCTGGTTGGCAAGGGTGGCACATCGGCAAGTGCTTCGTACGGGCGCTTGCAGTCCTTATACTGGGGAATACAGATCGTCGGTTCTTTCCTTTTCGGCTGCCTGCTTGACAAAGTCGGTGTGCGTTTGGGTTTTGGACTGAACTTCCTTTGCTGTGCCGCGACGTACTCCCTTCAGTCAGCTGCGGGCAGCATGGCAGGCCTCTATGCCTCGAAGATCCCAGGGATTGGCATGAATGGAGTGTTGTGTGCCCAGACAGCAGTAAGTCAGTTCACGGATCCGGGCCCCGAGCGCTTCCAGGCACTCGGCCGACTCACCACAGCTTACACTGTGGGCGGTGTCATCGGCCCCTACTTGGGGGGCCTTCTCGGCGCCAGGGGTGGTCACGGCTACATCCTTGGTGCCAAGGTGGCTGCAGGCAGTGCCCTGCTTGCAGCTCTAAGCAGTGGCCTGCTTGCAGCACCCACCCACGTGCTTCAGGAGCCCCGAGTTGTTGAGGGCACGCAGCTGCCACTGCGCCAGAGGCTTGGCACCGTGGCAAGCAAGGCGGGCTTTGTTCTGGTTGTAAAGCTTTTGACCTCTGTGGCCAACGCTATAGCATCCTCTACACTGAACCTGGTCTTGAAGAACGAGCTGGGCTTCGCCGAGGCAGATCTTGGTCTGTTCCTCTCAGCGCAGTTCGCCTGTGGTGCGGTCGCCAACGCGGTCTTGCTGGGCCCAGCCAGTCGGCTTCTGGGTGGCCCGCCGAGTGCTGTGGTCCGCAACTGCATTGCAGCCTTGGCAGTGGGCTATGGGCTGCAGGCAGCCGCCCTGAACGCCGGTGGCCTGGCACAGCTGACGCCCAGTCTCAGGCGAAGCGCCTTCACAGGGATCGCGCTCAGTTTGGCCCTCTTCCAATACAGCCTCTCGACGAGCATCACGGCAGAGAGCACCGAGCTTGTACCCAAGGCCATGAAAGGTACCCTCCTGGGCATGGAGCACTGCCTGTTTTCGGCGGCTCGGGCTTTCAGCCCTGCCATTGGCATCGGCATGTTGGAGGACTACGGTACCTTGGGCTTGTACGGATCCTGCTCCTCCATCTTGCTGGCAACCTACATCCTTTGGATCACCACGTACGAACAGGCTGACCCTGCCACGGGCAAGAGGATCCGCTGAACAGCAGAGAGATTTCAAGTGTACGGCCAGCGCCAGAGCCTGAATTCACTCCATCTGCAGGGATGGATATTTTTGCATGATAAGGAACAGGCTTTGCACCCAACAAATTATCGGTTGAGGCCAATCGGTGATATGTCATATGGTGGTTGCTTAGGCAATGAATACGAATGAGATCATATACAGTGTGCACGTGGGAGCTCAACCAAGTTTCGCTGTGGCCACCCGATGCATGTTGTGTGCAACATTTGTACAGGTCTGTTTGCAAGTGCTGCCGAGAATCCACTTCGATTTTGGCTAGAAGGGTTTGACGGGAGTATCTCCGCATCAGCTTCGCCTGCGGATATCATGAAGGAACCAAGGTGCATGAGCGAGAGCACGAAAAGGGGCGAGTGCGGCAAGAGTCACGCATTTTGCTACACGAGCGAGTATCTGCAAGCCTTGTTGTTAGCAGACCGTTAGCAGTTAGCAAAAGAGCTGTAGTTCTCAGTGGTGCGAATGCTCCGAAGCAGGAGTGGGACTACCATCAGACCAGCGGCGCACAAAGACATTTCAAACCGAGGAGAATCTGACTACTCGTTCTCGCAGGCTCGGGGGAAGCGGGAAACGGCAGCTGTTGCACCATGCGCGGCGGATGGTTGAGGGGGGCCTGAACATCCCTGAAGTGCGTCATGTTTTCGAAGCTGTGCTGAACTGTGTGTGAAGTTCGTGCTGTGCCGCATTTGTCTTCTAAGTTGCGCTTTGTGCCGACCGTCTCTGCCCTTTTGTTCGAAGTGCCAGGCTCAGTTCTTTGTTGGGTGTCCGTCCGAGTAGTGCATTGGCCAGCAGCCAAAAGATTTGTGTCGTCAGAACACAGTGAGTACCCGGCATTCACTCGACTGCCGCCTCACTGCGACCGTTCCTTACCAGAAGTCTGCTTCACAGATTGGTGTATGTGACTGCATTGGCTCCAGCAGTTGCTCCAGAGTTACGGCCGCTTCTTGATGCCCGGACGCCCAGCACATGATGTTTACACCGAAGACGAGCTGCAGGATTCGGATGTTTCTGGACATGGATGAGGCAATGGCTCACCCGTATGGCACCGACAACGAGGCTACACATAGAGGGTTCAGCAAGGAGGCTGAAGTAGTGGCTCGATGTCGGAGTGTTGTAGGCCCCCGTGCTCTGTGGAAGAGGATGTCTTTGGCATGCGAAGGGGTGTGTTTGCGAAGGAGGCTTTCAAAGGCAAGCAAACTGGATAATGCGTGAGATGGTTCCTTTCGATCAGTTCAGAGAGCAGCTTATGATTCGAACCGACAGACTTGAGCCACATTAAGAACCATTTCCCAGTGTCCGATGTCACAGAATGCAGGACCGCCCTGCGTTGCAGATAAAGGATGAGCATGTCATTGCCTGCCTCCGATGCTTGGCGATGGATGCGGTGCAGAAGGCAGGATCGATCTTCCACACGCTGCAAAACGGTTCACAGCATTCGCAACGAGCTTACCGGTCGTAGCACTGTCATCTGGAAAGTTCCCCACTGCTATCGAGCATCGGTGGAATTCGTAGCTGCTGCGAAGCGTCGACATACTTGGAGCCTGCTCCTGGCAACTCGTCTCGCTGCCCATGCCAGGCCAATTCCGGTCATCCTGGCACCCCCATGGCCCGGCGCCCAGCTTGATGCAGACCTGCAACTTCAGAGAACTTTAGAGAATACCGACCCAGGCCATGGCTCCCGTTGGCTATACTTTGTGGGCGAGGCCTTGCTTGCCAGCAGGGTACAGAGAGGTGGCTTAAGCTTAGGGCTTAGTCTCAGGAAGACGACTTGTCGGGCCGCAGTGGAAGCAAACTCTCTTCCAGGACTCTGAGCTATGATCCAGAGGACCCAAATTGGCCGAATCGTGACCGCTTTGTGCTGTCCATGGGCCCGGAGACCCGGAAGGTTTTACATGCAGGCTTCCGGAAACTCCGTGCTCGAAGTGGCCTGGGCAAAGGCGCGAATACAAGGGAGTGCCTTTTGCAAGTGCATACCATCTCGAGCTCTGGTCATGTTGCCATCACACGACAGCATTTTCGTTGTCACATGGTGTCTTCTGTGTTCCGTTTCTTGCTTGCTGAGCCTCGACATTTGGTCAGAAACCAAGGCCATGCATGCATGCTCCAATACGGCCTTCTCCACTTAGCTGGCGTGAAGAAGGTGTGGCGTGCAGACCGACCTAAGATCCTTCTTTTGCAGCACAAAGCTGGCATCACAAGCCTGAGTTTCAAGGTAGAAGGCGAACCGTTGAGCATGCTCGTGCCCGAAGCAGATACGTTTCTGTCGAGAATCTGTGGAAGGAATCTGGTGACCCGGCAGTTTCTCTGGACGACATCAAGGACGTTTTGGGGAGACCTTGCGCATAGTGTGCTGTGACATGCTGTGAAGAGCAAGTGCAGTAATCAGAGTCCCGCTCGGCCCTGCCACCAGAACTTCCGGCAGTTTGGCTCCAGCTGCCCGGGCCACCCTGAGTTTGGCCCAGACCTTAGGATGCTCTTTATGCTTGAGCACTGCAGCCTCAAGCCGCCTGTGGTCCCAAATGAAAAAGTCTTCGGAACATATTGTAGGCAGGACAGGAAATGCACCGATCATGACTGTGTTTGTCTAGAATGCCTGGAGCAACGCCAGGTGAAACAGTGGGTGTCGAAGTGACCACCGGTCCCCTCGGTCAGGGCGTCGCTACCAGTGTAGGCGGCCGGACCTGCCCGGATTGGTCAGCCTCAGATCTCTGCAGTTTCTCATGCATGCCGATCGGATCGGGGCCGAGTTGGATTGCGTGGGGCATCTTTTCCTTCGTCTTTTGGGCAATATTTCCTGTGAAATGACCGGTTGCCCCGACGTATCTAGCGCCATTGCTAAGCTATTCGGTGACCCTAAGGGCAGCAATTCGACTTTGCGGATCTTCAGTCAAGGCTGAGATAAGCCTTTGGCATGTCATCAAGCAGCTTCGGATGACTTTGCCACAACCTTTTTCATAGACGATTCTCTTCGCCGATTGAGTACTTCAGCTTCAGACCATCCCAAATCCTGCTTCGCATGGAACAGCACGGTTTGTTTCGTTCAGTGTTCCAAACCCTAACCGATGCCGTGAGCAGGCATGGCGATCGCCTCCAAGTGGCTGGCAGCGAACTTCAACAGGTTGCTCCACTCAGAGCAGCTGGGTTCCGCTCATCTGTTCAAGAGGAAGGCCTTGGATGGTTTGTTATCTCTTTGTCATGCAAGCAGCCCGTCAGGAACTTGCGGCCGTTGTCGTGTCGGAAAAATTATTATTCGTAGGGCTTGAAGAGACCTTTCCGAGTACCGAGATGTTAGCCGATTGGTCCTGCCAGCAGAGTCAGTGGAAGGGGGCCCTCTAATTTTCGTGGCCACAGATGTCTATGCATCCATGACCATGTGTGGATGATACTACATCGGAAGACACACACTTTTAAAGACAGGGACGTTGGAACTTGTGCCAAGAGTTAAGGCCCGGCTTCGACCTCTTTGACTATGATGTCTACGCCCTTGCGGGCGACGGCTGCTTGCAGGTGTCGTCCTAAGTCTGGGAAGAAAAGGAGAAGTAAAGAAATTCATGTCTCCCTGAGCAGGAAGGCGTCTCGTTCGAAGCGGCTTGCATAGCAGGCACAAGTGTTGTGGCAGCCAGGCAGTCAGTAAACTTGTTGCTGCCATTTATCATTCCTCTTGCTCTGTCATGTCGGGAATACCGGGCGTGCAATGTCTGCAGAAAAAAGGACCAGCCAGACAGAAGATGCTTGCAGCATGCACCTGACAAAATTGGGCAGGGCATCTCAAGCTCGGCAACCTTTGCCTCCTGTCTTCAATGTCAGTGGAATCGAAGCGGTTCAGGGTTTGGGAGGACTGCATTGACTGCATCTTGTGCAGACGATCCAAGACGAGTGGTTCAATAGCCGCTACTTGTATTGTGAACGAGATGGCTGTCTGTCGTTCGATGTCGTTTGGCAACAGTACTCTTGCCAATCGTGCTGAAGCCAGCAGTGAAGTTGCCCACTCCTGAAAGCGTCGGGTCATCAAGGTTGGATCTGGGACAACAACGGGATCACCATCAGCGGAAGCACTGCGTCCGCCTGACATGTCGTGCAACGAAAATTGAAGTTGTGACGGCTCCCCCTCCGGAAAGCAACTCTCAAAGGTTGTCGTGCAGTTTTGCCTGTGAGAAGTTTGTGACAGGTTGTCGACTTCGGAAGACATCCCCGCACGCTTCGGTGCTTGTGGCTGGAATGTCAGAACGGTTGAAGATGCCAATGACGTGAAGGCCTGCAAAGCTCTTTGAGACGTCCACGCAAGTAGTCGTGTGTGCTGTAATTTCGATGCTCGCTTTCTCCTTGCCTTCGGTGAGGCTGCTGTTGACTTCCGGCTTCGTTTCTCGGTTTTCAAGTGCTAGCCTTCACATGCTTCAACCTTCTGCTTGACGTTTGATGTTGATGTGTGACCTGCTTCGACCAGTGCACTCGTTGTGGTTCCTTGGCGTTCGTGGACCTCAACCCACCTTGACATTACTGCTTCGCCTTCGTGTTGCATGGTCCTTCCTGAATGGTTGTCACGTCACTTTGGTGACTTCACGCCGTTGGGGATCATGTGGACAGGCGCTGGAATCGGCCTTCTCCCTGATCAAGCAGGAGCCTGGGCCAAAGCATCAAGATGCATCAAGCCATGATGCAAGGTGACATCTGCAGAGAAAGATGTTTTCTGAGCGACTGCGATCGGCAACTAAAGCCTACGAAGCCTGTTTGCCTCCCAGTGCCGAGGCAAGATCGGCCGACGCTCCTCGTGGTTCAGTCCCGCATCGCCTGGGGAGCCCCGAATAAGCAGGTCGGACAACTTACCTTTGGTTAGTAGGGAATGGAGGAATGGGGTACAATGACAACTACTATTACTACCATTCTTCCATTCCCTATAAACCAAATGAAAGAAAAGAGTGTCGCAGATGCTTCATCGATGCCCTGCAAAAATGTTTCAGGGTTCTCACCACGCTCACGGCACTCCCCTTGGTGATGAGGAAGTCTCGGCTGCAGCCTCAAGACTGGGAGGCGCTGTGTGCTATTCGGTTTTTAAAGTGCGGCATGTTTTCACTTTAGCCCCACATCAGCTCAGAAGCTCAGACACTTTGTTCCGACACTAGGCTGCCAAGAGCTTCTACAACTGGCCGAACGAGAAGTTCCTGGTGCCCCGACCACTCCCGGTCCAAGGTTGAGTGTCTGTACAGCTTATAAGGTGTTCCTGAGCAGTAGTCAGCCTTCTCCTCAACATCCGGAACTGCAAGTACTCGTGCAAGAAATGCCCTGAAGTGCCCGAAAATGGGAGGTGCCAGACGAGGTGTGCCGACATTTCCGTGACTTGGTATTGCCACTGGCGTGTCGAGTCCAGCGTGAGACGTTGCGATTTTTGGCTGAAGACTCGAAGGTAGGCAGCTGGCACGAGGAACCGAGAAGCACAAGGAGCCACAGGGTCACAGCTGCTAGTTAGGCCTTAGCCGTTAGCATTCTGCCCAAACGTTGCGCTGCACTTGCACAAGTACCTCGCTTACTGTGTTAATGAGTCATCAACCCTGAAAGTCGTACACACTTTCGGTTTTTTGGCTTGCAAAGGATCGGCGGTTGCATCCGTGCCGGCACCCCTGATACGGTCCATGTTCGCGGACTGCATCCCAATAGACAAGCATACATGCCGGCACCCGGGGCAACGTTCACGTTCTGACTGCATCCTAATGGGAAACCATTTCTGCCCACTCCGGTGATAACGTTCATGCTCGGACCGCATCCCAATGGCAAAGCATCCCTGCCGTTGCCCCTGATGGCGTCCCTTATCGAATTGCAATCCATTCGGATAACATCCATGCTCTCGCCCCGCTGTAATCCCATGGAACCGACATGAACCGAAGCAGCACATTGTACGAACCAGAGTTTCATGAGAGATCAAGCAGCATAGGATGAATACAGTTCCATAAACTCATCGGACTCATCGTCTTTTAGACCTTCCTCACGGTTTCGAGGGCCTGTATGTTGGGATGTTTCTGTTTACAAAGAACCTATCTCAAAGCTTCGGCGTCCCGTTAAAGAACACAAAATTATCCTACGCCAGAGAGCGTGGGCGCAGCTTTTGGGGTTTGCAATGAAGACGGTGCCGTTATCTCGAATCGGGGAAGTGGTGGAGTTTCAGCAGGAAGACGCGTGTTCAGCTGCCAATAGCCATATCAGATACTTGTTGCCCTCAATCTGCCGACAGTTCGGTGTTAGAACATTGATGCCGAACTTGTTTGAAGCAGTCTTGGCATGTTGTTGGGTGACACTGCTTGTCACAGTGAATGCTGGAATGCAGCGGGTTGCAATGCACCAGGCAGCAATGCAAACATGTTTCTGCTCAGTCGCAGCTACGAGTACCCCGTCTTGGACAGGAAGTGCTGGATGACTTGCAGAAAACGCCTTCTTGCAAGTTTGTGAAGCCTTGAATCTAATTCACGAGGAAACGCTACCTGAGGTTGCTGGCTTTTGTCTCATCAGAACTCATTGATTGAAAACATTCTGCCGTCTGACCGTGAATTCCGGTTGGGCTCGGAGAACAGAAGACAGACCGCTACAGGCTTGAAGATCTGTGACGAACCAGCAACCAGCATCCAGGACTGGAAGAAGCTCCTCGACAGCTACAAGACCAAATACCCGGACGAGGCTCGAGGGCGCTGCGGCTCATGGGGCCTGCGGACTCCGGGTTTGGTTTGATCCAGAGACTGAAAGCTGCCTTGGTTCCATTGCATGTAGCCTGGCCTGCCGTCAGGCCGGCTTCTTTGGATTCTTGTTGATGAGGTCCCGGGTCTTGTAATTCCATGTAGGCCCCAAAGCCAAACCAGGCCGTCCTGAATAATGGTTCGGAAGTCAGAGCATATGCCCTACACCCTACACTTATCGGCCCAACTCAGTCTAATTCCGAGGATGGGGTGCGTGTGTACCTACTCGCAGCTGAAATCTGCTCAGCTGAGCCTTTGCAGGGCAAGCGCCTTGAGCTGCTCCTTGGCGGTCAGCTGCCCAAGGCTGGGCTCAGAACCCTTCCCGAATATTCCCCAATCTACCCAGCGGTTTAAGATCTGTGGTGCGTGGATTGCAGGCCCCTCCGGATTTAGGATTGGCAAGCCTTGGGCTCATGTCCTGCAGTAAGAACTCGTCTTGCAGACGCCTGGAATTCTACTGAATGCGCTGTTTGTAGTGATTCTAGTGTTGAGATGTTGAGAAGTCGAGCGAAGTATCGGTTGCGCACGCCCCCCCCCTGGTTGGAGGGCTGGGACGAGCACTTCGAGGCCTTCCCTACGGCCAGGAACTCGGAAAAGAGGGTTGTGCTAGTGCATTCTTCTGCACAATTCTGTACATACGGTGGACGATTGTCTTGCAGCCCAGCCCCTTCTGCGGACACACATTCGCAGCCCAAGGACCCGAAGGGTATGGCGACCAGGCAGTCCAGCAGCGTCTGCCTGAACATGGTTGGCGAAGGCAGCTGGGCCTGTGATCAGGGAGGGCAGTTGCACATTCAGGATCAACTACGTAGCTTGACTCGATGTCATAATGTACAGTAGAAAATCTGTGCGGGGTTGAGCCTGCCCGACAAATCACGGCCGGCGGGCCCCGATTATCACCTTACCCTAAGGTGTCCCATGGCTCATCGGTGGCTCCGCCGATCTAGCCGCTGGGCGCAAGAGCAGGCAAGTTTTCTGGTGAGCCTTCAGTCCCTCGGTGTGCCGACAGTCACAATTCATCAGTGAGGTGGCTCGAGACAAGTATATGCGACATATGCTCGGTGGACCCCAGTCTCAATTGCACACTTGAGTGCCGTTAGTCGAAACCACAGCCCTGAAAAAGAGGCTAGACCACACATGCCGAGCTGGGCAATCATGATTATCCAGACTAGGCCAACAGCTGTGGGACAGTGCTACGTGGCTGCAGTGGAGACGGGGTTCGCTGGATTAGCAGCTGCGCCGGTGCACAGCAGTCGATCCGCATGTGTTCGTGCGCTTCTCCTAGCGTTTTCAAGCAATAATCATGTCCTGGAAGGCTTCAAGGTATGGGCAACCTCATGCCACCAACCTTGGAGTGCCTTGGAACGATGACTCATGGTTCGCAAATTCTGTTTCAGCTCGGTCTTGTAGCTGTGAAAAACGAGTGTGTGGTTGAAACCGGCCTTGGGAATGCTAGAATGTCCAAGTGTCAACTCTGAGGTAGATCTCAGCTGTCGGGTAAAGCTAAGTTGCAATTGCAAACAATCATGTGCTCGCTCTCCCACAAACAGAGTGTCAAGAAGCAGAGTGTTCATTGGCATCAAGACTCGAGGTTCTGCCCACGTTCGGCCATGCATGTGTGGATAGTGTGCCAGATCTGCTCAGGAATACTGTCAATCGAAAGAGCGGATGTAGTGGTTGTCTAACTCGTGCCCTGCAGCCGATCACGCTCGACGGAGGGCAATGCCGGATTGCTGTCACTTGACGTAGGCCTATGTGGCTACGAGCCGAGACCGCAAGGCGATTGTGCTGAGCTAGCTGGGACGTCAGTGTTCTGGCCTCCGAGGTCGGGCAACTACGCTGGCAGCCACACGGTTGAAACAGTCATGCTTGGGCTGACCATTTTGATGCTGTCCCCCGGTTACACAGTCGAGGTGGGTTCTGTAGATAGAGTTTGGTGGGAATATCTGCATCTTCAATGAAAGCATATTGAATCGCGGACCTGGGAGGGAGGAGGTGGAGGAGGAGGTTGCAGCAAGCGTCAGTGACCGTTGTCACCCACATGCCATGTCACGAACGTTGACTTTGCTGCAGATAGCAGCTAAACGGTATGCTTTGGCACTTATGAATTATGAAACGAATCGCGCTGTCGGTTGACTCTTTGCTGGTTGATGTGTTCTGAATGCGTATGCAGGCATACACTTCCACAGTTTAGTCCAGCTGTCCGCTTGTAGCAATTACGATGTTTTGGTGAACCAACAGAAAAAGAAGGTAAAACAGGGATAGCAGAAGGACTCGGAGCTCACTGGAGCCGAGGGTACAGGTATCCGCAGGCAAAAGGATTGACAAAAGGCTTGGGCCATCTTATGGCAGGTCGAGGCTTGCTTGATGGTCGGGCTGGTTCTGGCATTTCTTGCCCGATGAGGTTCATTTCTGACCAGACTGATGGTTCAAATCGTCTCTAGGATCGCCTAAACTTGAACTGGACGGCTTGCTGTTGAAGTCTTGAAATCTTCGTCACAGGACTGTCATGGACTGTCCACAGGTCTTATGGTCACTAGCCCACATGGGCCTGTCCACCGGCCCACGATGCCTGAGATGGACAGTGACGGGAGTGGAGATGAAGAAGAAGGTGACGAGGATGATGGTTCAACTATGATATCGTATAGTCAAGTAGTGTTCAATGAGTCTCCAGGATGATGATGTTGAAGCTGGAAATCAAAATTGGCCATGACAGGGACATTCAAGGTGGCGGTAAGATGGGCGATGCATACTGATGCTTCTGCATCACTGCAGACCCCACAGCCACGAACCGACACCAGTGGTAACGTGACATGTTCAATGCTCAGTCTCACGATCCTATGCTTGCAGTTTCAGGCAATGCAGCTGCACAACTGTTTGCACCAATGCGGCATCCTGGGGTTGAAGATGTCAGGAAATCTTCATTTCGGCATCCGCGAGCATGCCATGGGCTCCATCGTGAGCCTTGACTCTGTACCCTTGCTGCTACCGCGAACTCCAGGTTCTGAGGTGCTGAGACTTCTCAATGTCGCGAATTGCAGCTGAAAGCAGCCATCCTTTCAACCGTTTCATCACCTGAAGGCTGCGTTTGAAGGTGTCGTATTGCTGCTTTAGGCAGGCATATCAAATTTCGGAGAGCCTCGAATCTGCTCAATTGCTCATGTCGGATACCTGGATTCTTAGATTCTTCGCATCTCCTTATTAGAGACGAGACTTTCCAGCACAGCAGCTCCCTGAGCCGAGCAGCAGCCATCAGGAACGGCTTGGCCCTCTCGAGGTTGCGACCATTCTGCTCGACCTTCCTGGCACCTTGTACATCATGTGTGTTGCTCTTGCTTGGTTTTCAGGCCGACTGAAGGAAGCAGCTGCTCATCGGACAGACAGCCTTTTCCAAAACACGAGGCATTCAGCGATTACATGAAGCCACCTCTCCGACTGTCCTCGATGATGCGAATCCCCTGCACTTTCGTTTTCACGCACGACTCCATAGGCACGGCTAGGACTAACTAAGTGCATGTGTTAGAGCTCGTTTTGGGAGCTTGGCTTCATACTCTCCTGCGGCAGGTGTGGGCGAGGATGGTCCAACTCATCAGCCCGTGGCGCCTAAGCTGCTTTATGTCACATGACATGGCCGCACTGGTGCAGGCTGTACGCTTGCAGAGGGGTGTGCTTGACCGAACAAACGGCATGCGGCAAGGAGCACCTCGATGCGCTGCGGGCACTCCCGGGCATGGTGGTTTTTCGCCCTTGTGACATCCGGGCTGCAATGAGGTACCCGAAACACAAATTTTTGCGAGGCAGCTCTCGCTCCGATTCAAAGGTAGCATGTATATCTAAGAAGCTACGGCACTTGATCATGAAGCCTCTCAGCAAGGATGCCAACGAGTGTTTGGAGATGTGGAAGCACATCATGAAGGTACCACAGGGTTCCACGGGGGCAGAGTCGATTTCTCGTGTCGGGTGCGTATCTTGCTTGATCCAGCCACCAGATGCAGCCTGGTTGTTTTTCTCATACTATGCGCAGTAATTCTAGGATCTAGCCCTCCGATTCATGATTCCCGATTTCTATGAGGTTCTATTAATATTCCTGTTATCAGGATCACAGTCTCGCGTGAAAGCCTTTATGATCAAGGGAATCAAGGGTGTGCATTGCAAGTGGTGAGTGCCGATTTCTGGACATGCCAACACCTTGAGCCCATATTCAGGAACAATGGCTCTGGCTTTTCGGCTGCTGGCTCGTCACTAGTGTACAGCAGCACCCCAGGAGAACCGTCTCGCGCCCGTTGCAGCCATCCTCTCACGGCAGTCCTTGCCTACACTGGATCGCGAGAAGTTTGCATCGGCATCTGGCCTCCACAAGGCTCTCGGGGCTGAATTGAGCTTACGCCTGCACTGTCTGTTCTCTCCGGCGCTTTGACCTTGCATTGAGGGCGGCTACATATTGACATGCTCGTGCCTGGTCGGCAAAACTGATCCAGATTGCCGCAAACGACGTTCTGGCACACTTGAGCCTGAGTGGTAAGCATGAGTCCAAGCTTGCTCTGCGACAGGACTTGCCTTTCGCTTGACTGAAGGTCGAACGGCGGAGCTCCTGATGTGATTCTCATGTCCACAGGCCGTCTGGATTGTGTGACACTTTTGACGTGGCTGTCTGCCGTCGAGACTGTCGATGCTAATTCGAACGCTTCTGCTGTTCGTGAGCAGGCAGCGAGGTCCACCTCATGCTTGAGGCTGGACCGACAGGGAACCTGCTGCCTGGAGGGTCCTCTTCGCGCCAGAGCCCTCCGCCCCACTTCAGTCCCAAGCAGCCTTCGCGTTTCAAGCTGAATCGAAATCCTTGACCTGTCTGCACCTCTTCTGGTCTTGTCCAGCATTCAGCACACATTCCAACGGCGTCTGTTGCAGTACTGAAACACTTCCAATCGGCATTCGGCACGTTGCAGGGAGATTTAGGGCCTCGGCCCCGCACTCTTGACCATCTCTCGCTGTTCTGCTGGTCTTTCAAGCCTTGTCGCAAGGTGTCCGACAGCCTCTGTTAGCCTTCAGCCTCTCACTATCCCAAAACCCAACAGCTCGACCGCAAAGCCCGTATCCCTGCAAACAGTTTCAGCTCCCGCTGCTCCTCCTCCTCCTCCTCCCCCCCCTCCTCCTCCTCCGCCTCCTCCTCCTCCCGGCGGCAGCAGCAAAGACCAAGCAGCAGTCCCCAGCAGACCACTGCAGCCTGATGCTGATGCAGTGACTATGACAGCGCTTGTCGATGAGGAGGGAGTAACCGAGCCCGACATGACATGAGCAACTCTCTGGAGACTTTTTACGTCAGAAGAAGCGTGCCTTCCCCTATCCTGCAGTACTAAGAGATAATGTACCATGACGGAGAGCGGCATCTTTAACTCGCCAGCGCCGGAGAGGCACACGATGCACTGTCTGCTGATGGCATCGAAGTCTGGCTGTGGCCTAAGATGCCGTCGGTCTTTCGGTTGGCAACAGCAGATAACCTGAGTAGTTTCGAGTTCGTCTCCAGTGGCATGATGGAGCACGGTATCCTCATGATTTTGCTGTGAATGTCCCCGCCGCCCTTGCAGGACTGCGTTCCTTGCTTTTCGTGTGTGCTGCTTCGGTAATGCAAGCTCATGACGATCGTAGTCCTCAATCCCCGATTGTCGATTCTGGCTGACCGCTCTGCATGGGCCTTTGAGAGAAGCATTTAGTTGCCACGTCAATCTCGATGTCATTTTGTTGAGCTCGGCAGCCAGCTCCGGCACGTGCGAGCGAGGTCATTGAGCATGCCTTCGATCGAGTTGTTCAAGAGTCAGCCTGCGAAGTACATCGAGAGCGCTCCTTGGCATGTACATGTCATGCCTTGTGGTGTGTGTGTGTGTGTCGTATCATGCATCTTTCATCCTCCCCTGGAGCCGCACTTGCACCGATAATCCTGATGCAGTCTTTGCATCCGTTGCCGTTCATTTCTAGGTTCTGCCCAGTGGCTGCAGAGCGCGGGTTTCCATCGAAGCCAGCAAGGGTGACTGCTGGGGACTCCGAGCTGCGTTTTACTACTGTGGTTTCGGATCGCACACTTCAAATCCATCCAACCTTGCGCAGTTGTGAACATGCTGCCTGATATGTGCCAAGAACGCCGGCACTGCATGCAACTGGGAATAGACCATGCTCCGAGCTGCTCTGTTGGAAGTCTGTCTCAGTTTTAGGGTATTCTTTCATGTCAACACCAGCGCTGAATTCGCGGGCAATTCCCAGACGTAGGACGTACTGCTAGCAACCCTGCTGAGCTTATGCATTGTAAGGAAGCCTCATCGGGCTGGATGGAGAACACGCAGCTGTGCGGCAAGCACCTTCATGAAGCCATGCTACAATCTGCTACAATGCTTTCTGACTAGTCCAGAAGAGCCAGCATCGTCAGCAGTGTTGTTTTATTCTGAACTTGAAATCAGTTTGTTGCAGAGTTGTTGTCCATCTGTGCACAGGTCTGCATGTTAAGTCTTTGCCAACACACCAGCTGCTGTGGCCTTTGAAAGGTGGGAATGAATGGCTTTGGGGCCTCGGGCCCTATGGAGAGGATCCAGATGGAGAAGGGCCTTACCGTTAAAGCTGTTGAGAATGCAGCCAGGCGCGCAGTGTCCAAGACCCTTGTTGCAATATCCCCATGCCCATCCCAAGTCAATTCAGCTCGCAGATCCTTCCTTCGGAATCGCGAGGCGTGTCATGAAAGAGCAGGTGAACACGAAGCTGCATTCCAACTCGAAGAAACGTGAAAGGACCTGCTCTGCTACAAGCAGCAGGATGCAATCCTCTCGAGTTTTCCTTTGACTTGCAATGATCACTGGGAGACTGAGTCTGGACTTACGAAGCCCTGGTTCTGATAACGTCAAGCATCAGGACCTTCGACAGCGAAGAGGCATCAGCACATCGGCGATCATTTCAGCAAGGCACCCGTGCCATGTCTCGCAGCGTGTATATTTCTCGGCATGCAAGACGGAGTACATCTGCCAGGTAGCGCTATTGTCTTTCAGCCCAAAGCCTTCTGTCTACCAGCCGCTGATTTCGCAGGCACCCGCTGCTGGGCAAAATATCTGTCACCAGTCGGTCTGGCCTGCAGTAGTGCACGTACAGATGATTCGTCGAGTCTAGCCTCCATTGTCCCTAAGAAGCAGCCTTCTGCAGAAGAAGAGCCCGTCAGGTGCTGCAGATTTTGCACTTCTTTGAGTATAGGGCCTCGGCCGGCCAACCTGAAGGAAGAATTCAACCAGTGCGCCTCGGAAGGAGCTCCTGGGCGGACTGCCTGCACAGTTTTCAAAGGACAATCCTTTGTTCCCGGGCAGGGATAGATGAAGCCCCGAGGGCCAGCATCGTGATCCTGCACCGTTTCCGTGCACATAGTGACAGGTTATCTCCCTGATCTCGCACATTTTATCTGAGTCAGTTGTGCTGCATACAAGAATTGGATGCGGCTTAGCTTGAGCTGCCGCCGGATCCATACAGTCTGGCGGGAGCATCGCATCTTCAACGATCGAATCATGGGATCAAAAGTCTGCTTCGGTCGTCTGAATGCTGCTTACGGCCGTCAGGCTGTAGATGTAGCTGCAGATGTATAGGTTACCTGTGTCTTCGAGTCGGAAGTCACACGCGGGCCAGCCAGGGACTATTCAGCAATTAAGCTTCACTCCTGGTCGTGGCAGAAGAGCCTTGTCGCGGACCATGCATTCCAGGACCCAACCAAGCATCCTGGCATCAGAAGCTTGAGCTTGAAGCAGTGGAATTGCAGCCTCCAAAACTGTCAGCGCAACCTCCTACACGAAGCCCTAACAGGGGTGACCGCAACACCTGAAGCCATCTGCAACAAAGCATATATTCTGCTCAACCGACAAATGGACAAAGACAACGAAAAGGAAGGCACACGACACACAAGCACAAACAACAGAAACGGGCAGAGAGAACACTCGCACATCTAACACATCACAACAGAAGGAACATGGGTCACCATGGTGAACCTCAAAAAATCATCAGTACAGGACTGTGACACAGCTTAGTGGACGGAGCTTCAGACTACAAAAGATAGATGCTACGCATCTACATTGCTGAGCGTGTCCAGCTGCTCAGCACGTCTTGTCCCGCGGATCCGTTTCTCGCCAATCCCTGCACGGCCTCCACCGGGGCCCTTCCCGGTACTGCCCCCTTGAACCATTCTTTGATGGTCCCCGCATTGTCCCAAGTCCTCAAGACCAGGCCTCTGATGGACGCTGGGTGCGCGCAACCGCCGGTAACTGCAGCGTTAACAGCTGGCGATAGTTAAGCACGCGCCTAGCCGGAAGAAAAGATTACGATCCTGGTACTGAAGCTGGGCAAAGACGGCATAAAACCACTAGAACCAATGCACATACGGTACCCAGCAAAGTGAATCCAAGCCCGCGTGTCTGGCGTGAAGGTCAGCTCATATGTCACATTTGCTTTCGTATCTTTCGTCGGAACACATGCAGCAGAAGCAACACCCTTCCGAGTCCCTCAGACTTCGTAGAGGCCTGCAGGTGCGCTGCCCGCGGCGCGACGTCGCAAAGCATTGAAAGAGGCAGCACTGCAACTTACAGTACGACTACCATAGGTTACTTGCTGGGCATCGGATCCCCCGCAAAAACAGGCATCAATTTCTTCGGGCTCTTCGCGGCTTGCTGGTTGGAGGTGCCGTGCCATCCCCTGGCAGCATTTGGGATAAACGGTGCTGCAAATTACTTTTCACACTTGATGGCCGTTATGTGATGCTGACCTTGTCGCAGCCATTTTGGCCATCTATTTTCCGGCATCCTTGCACGGCGACACGATGGATTCCTTCTTCTCCAAGCAGCAGCAGGTCGCGATTTGGGAGAAGCGCGGAGCTTCAGGTTGTGCGGCTTGGCACTGGTCGTTCATAGGCCGGCTCGCCGTCCTGAGGGATCGTTGCAGAATCAGGCACCAGTGGACCCCGAGCTGGTCACCTCAATCCGCGAATGCGGACTATTGCGTAAAGTCCCACTGGACCTGAACTTCGACGGAACCATGCTCGCTAAGCTCAACTACTGCCTGCAGGACGTGGGGGGGGGGGGGCGGGTGGGCGGGTGGGTGAGCGGCTTCGAGCGACATGTGCTGGTCATGTTGCACAAAATTGCGAATCGCCATGCTCATCTAGGACATGACAGATATGACAGAGGCTACATACCGATCCGGATCATGCACACATACAGTCCAATGCTTCTTTTAGCATGTCTGGCGACAGCTACTGTCGCGAACAGTTACTAGGATGAAGTCTAATCGCAGCCTGGTGCTGCTTTGCAGCAGGAGTTTCGGAAGACGGTGCTGTCGGAGGCCATGCGTGTGTGTGTGTGTGTGTGTGTGCAATCATGCAATGCCAATTCTCGTTGGGGTTTCCTCCTAAGCAGGACAAGAAGCCGATGCTGAAGCAGGGCCTGAAACATGACTTGGTGGAGCTGATCAAGAAGACGCCTGAAGACTTTCTAAAGGGGCTGGAGCAGATCCCACGGGAGCGGTACGAGGATGCCCACGCGCTCCCCATTTTCGTGCAGAATCTCATCAGTGCCCAAAAACTCGATGTCGGTCCGACGTGGCACAAGTATGCCCGCACCCTGCCTGCCTTCTTGCAGAATCTCATCGGCGTCCCTCCGGAATTGGAAGCCTTGGCTAAAGAGCTCGCGAGGAGGATTGCAACTGTCGTCGGTGGCACCGGCGACCGGCCTGCGCCAGCTTCACGAAGCAGTTTTGATTCTGTTGCCGATCTTAGTCAGCTTGCTTTCTTTCTTTCTCTTTCACTTCACTCTTGCACTCCCTCTTTCTCTGTCTCTGGAATAACTTCAAGTTAGTGTCTAGTGGCCCCCGCAAAGGATGTGTCGCAAGCCATGCATGGGACAAGGAAAGTGTTCTGCGATCGCAGTCAAAAATTCTCTGCCTTTCTCTTCTCTCCCACTCTCTCTCTCCCTTTGCCTCTGCCTCTCCGTCTCTCCCTTGCCTCTCCCTCTCCTATCAAATAAACTCGCACCCGAGACCGGGTGCTCTCCGGCTGGATGACTCGGGCTGCATGTTTTGGGGTGATTTTGGGGCTAAAGCCGTGCTCCCGCAGCAGTCCCTCGAAGTCGCTACAGTCATCTAAAGTCCGCTTTTCTGCCTCCACTCTTTTCTGCCTCCGGAAGTTGTGCTCCAGCCAGAATGTTGTGCACATTTTGCGGTGCCAGTAGTGTTGGCGCCTGCTACATCGCGTTCCTGCCGCAGCTCTGGGTGCCAATCGCGTTCCCACAGTGTGCGAGGTGCCCATGTTGGGCTCGCCGGGTTCTTCAGGTACGCAGACGTTGCGTGATGACCGCGACGTCTGAGAAGCAGACCAAGTTTACAAGATACGTGCTCTAGGATACAAGTGAGGGGTTCCAAGGCGAAGTACGGTTGCCACAAGAAGCTGTAGGCAACAACATACATGCCGTCACATGCGTGGTTAATGGCAGCGCATGCTTGACTCGTCAGGTCGAGTGAGTCGTCAATCGAGGTGACACCATATACAGACCCGTATACCTAGAAGCTAGACTGGTGTGTTTGCTGTATGTATGCGCATGCTGCAGGTCGGCAGGGATTTCAAACGCGCTCCCTGGGAGGGTCGGGTGCTCAAAGTGTCAGGTGAACCTTCATCTTCTGTATCCAATGTGAGCAATGCAATTGTCCCTGACGGCCACTACCCGAAGACGATCTGTTACATCAAGGAGGCGCGGATCTACACCGGCAACGGTGCATGCACAGAGGTGCACAACGCCTATGCAGCTTTCTGCAAGGGCCACCAAGATATGGAGAGCCGGCTCATCCCTTTCTTCAGCAAGTTGGCGGCAGCCGAGGATTCGCGTCGCAGGATGACTTCATGTTCGCCATGTCTGGAGCAGGGGCTCCACCCCTTCGCCTTGATCATCTTGATTCATCGCCCGCACGCTGCTAACATGGTCGAACGTCTTATGCGCATCGCTGCCGCCAAGCAGGTTTGGAGTCCTGAGAGGACGAAACGTACTTTGAGGATCTTGGAGCACTGCATGCCGAGGGTCATTGAGGCCTTTCGCGAGTGGATAACACCAGATCGCATTCCCACAGAGCTATGGCCGAAGGTGTATCCGAATTTCCCTAACACCACAGGTGCCCAAACGTTGCTGACTCGCGTGCTCGATGCGATCCTTTTGATCGAGGATCCAACCAACGAGGAGTTCAAGCAGAATGCGCGCGCTGTGCGGGAGCGCTGCAACGACGTGCAAGGTGAGCGCCTTGACTTTTTGCTCGAAGCGGTGAATGCTTGGCTTCCCTTCCTCCACAGCCACAGCAGCGATGAGAATACGCAGCTTTACAAAGACTGCCAGTTCCTGCTGCTGCTCTTCCGAGCAGTGCACCTCCGCCGCATCCTGAGGATTGGAGGCTTGACGTCGGAAGAAACCATTGTTGTTGTGCGTGTGATGACGATAGCTCGGCAGCGATGCAGGATTCAAAGGACCGGGCAGGAAGGCTATGAAAGCGAAGCTAGAGACGGTGACGTGGCAGATCCTGCAGGTGGCCAGAAGTTGTGGGGAGTGTCTGTGCTTGTCTCCATGCACGAGGGTCGGGTCGTCTGATGTTGGCTGGCGCTTCAAACGCGTGCCAGGCCATTGACCCAAGCCTTGCGTCGAAGGAGACGATCATCATGAAGATTGATGGAACCTGGCGCGACTGCACGAAGTACGTGCGCGACAGCCTTCATCCAGCAGGACAGCCACGAAAATTTCTTTCCCAATCAGGTGGAGGCCTCTCTAAGCGGTGTGGCTCTGCAGGAGATGCGATCTTGATGGCTGCCAACGGCAAGGATGTCACAACATATTTCAGTGCCTTTCATGCACCAGGCACCAAGGCGCGGTCAGGGAGGTTGTGTGGCAGTTTAGGCGCAGGAGTTGGCCACACGTCGTCAATCTGTTTGCAGTGTGCAATCTGCAGCATCGCATGGTATGCATCCCAGTCTGCATGAGCACACTAGCATGAGGCCCTGATGATGAAGGAATGTCCAGAAGTCCGGATCAAAGCCTGAGACGAATTTGGGCAGGTAGCTGCTGTCGTGCTGGATAGCTTAATAGCTTCCTGCAGGCTAGTCGCAACCTGTGTGCATGCCGTAGGTATGCTACATTTAAACATTACGTTTTGGTAATTCAGCAAGGCTTACTGTTTGTTGTCGCCTGCCGTCGAGACACGAGTCCGGTGGGAGGCACTCAGCCGACAGGCTGGTGCAAGTAGAGAGACGTTGTCTGACATGGCAGCTTTCGCAGCAAACGAGCCAGCAAGTACGCCACATTGACGTCCAGCCCCTGCTGACTTTGCTTGGCCTGTGAGGTTTCTAATAGCCTTGCGTCCGGCACAAGCACGACATGTCCAATGGCGGTAAGGACCTGTCAGGGCTAAGATTTCAGATTCCTGTTCCTGCTCTTTTCCTAGTTGTCCTAGTTTTCCAGTTGCTGTCTCGTTCGCTGTTGGTTCGTTGCTTTTCCTGCTCTTCCATACTTCTTGCAACGAATCTCTCCTGAGGTTTTGATGTACCATCGGCGTCATCCTTGTTCCCTTCCGTCACAGCTTCCTGGTTTCGTTTTGATCACAAGTTTCATGGTTGGGCTCATTTTTACCGTTGTTTTATCTCTTATCAACTGTGTCTGATGTTTCTTTTTCCCCGTTCCTTGCACGAGTATGACGCGGCATTCCTTGTCGCCGCCATGTTTATTGATCGGTCATGGTAGCCAGTTCGGTGAATACATACTACTCGGCTGGCTGGTGTTGATTCCATTTGCTTTCCTCCACACAGCAAGCATCGCCGCGCCGACGACGACGACGACCACACCACGGCTACTGCTACCATCGGCTTCATCAACACCCCCACCTCCGCCACCACCTCCATCACCTCCATCACCTCCATCAGTGCAGCCACACCACCGTCACCGCCACCCGCCAGCAGCAGCAGGAGCAGCACCAGCCGCAGCTCGTCACCAGTCTGCCGTTTTGAGGATTCTGCATGCTGTGAGAGCCTGAGTGGAGGGTTGCTGGGGTACTCGTGGGCGAAATGGTCGAAGACTCGGTTGAGCTTCGAACGGGCAGTGAAGCTGCAAGAAGCTACGCCAGCTGAGGCCGCACGCGCCAGCAAGGGTGCACCCCCCTCAGACCCATCACGTGGGGGAACGTGCAGGGTAGCTTCATCATTCAACTTCCACGGAGCTCCTGCTGGTTCACGGATTGATGATGCTTCCGGAGAACCAAGGCACCAAAGCGACAGGACTTTGTCAACGGATGGCAGGGTTCCTGGGGCACTGACTGCAAAGATGAAGCGTTAGCCAGTGGGGATCGTGGAAACGCAATGAAACGGACAGCTGCAGCTAAATCCCAGCCTGCTTCAACCCCGACAGAGCCTTCAGTCATAGAAAGCCAAAGTTCGCACCACTGCGACGGGGATCGGGACCAAATGGACGACTGATTTGATTCTCGCTTGCTTACAGCAGGGGATCGGCGCATGCTGCATGCGTGCACGAAGACGTTTTGCACATGCCGCATCAGCGAAAGAAGCACTGCATTGCCGCTTCCTCCCTGCCACTCGAGGCCACATCCGGATCTTCTCAGCGGAGCTGCTCTGCAAGAGGATCTGGCCGAGAGCTTTCGCCGAGGCAGACTCTGTTCTGAGGATGATCTTCAGTTTTGTGCACGGCCCGATGGCAGGCGTGGCGAGGTCCATCGAGGAGCATTCCCTGAATTACGGGAACCCCGTCCGGGCCGCAGACCATGCAGACGGATTGCAGTGTATCTTACAGCCCTAGACGAGCTTCGGTCGGCTGATCCTGACATAGCCTGGCTGAGAGTTCTCAGACCAGGCAACCGGGTCCTACATGCTGGGGCATCCCAAGTTTCTCCAGGTGCAGAGACTGCTGCCTCAAGCATCGGGCACTGTTGTTCGGCGGCACGGCATGCTATCCCCCGCGAGGCCATGGCGACTTTCCTCCAGTCTCAGCACCTTGCGTCCGCTCCTGAGTGGCGCAAGTTTGCATTTGCTGAAGCACGTCAAAGAAGTCCTGCAGCCAGCGCTAAAGTCGCCGCAGGCCCGTTGATCCAAAAACCTTGATGTCTACGGTGGGTGCATCCATGGGCCTGATCCTCAGCACGCCCGCTATCTGGCCGTTTGCTTGCGTCACAGGGCTTCAAGCCTGGCATCATAGCGGATGTTGATCGACCTTGTCTTTACGAACATGCACAGCTCCGACGTTCGTCCAGCTCTGTCCAGTTCCATCCCTGCCATCTGAAGCGCTTATGCAACAGAGCCCGGCCGGTGTTGCCCAGCGTGCACGCTCTGCTTACACCAAGGCACCGACTTGTGCTTTCGCGCCTACGGCAAGGCAGGTGCACCTGGCCAACCCATCTTCCTGGGTCTAGCCAACCCCCTCTCTCTCGCACTCTCTCAATTGGTCTCTTCTTCGCAGTCTCGTTTGTTTTGCAGGCAGGCGACATCTGCATCTTTGAGGACATCTGTTCAAATCCAAGTGATCGGATGCAGCGCGACTGTATGTTTGCAAAAATCTTGTTTTACCGCCTCTACCAGGGCACGGCAGTGGCACTTGTGGAGCATACGAGGTACTGACTTTGTGCTATGTGCCCAGCACACCGGAGCTCGACACCCCATCATTGCTCTAGCCCATCAGTTGCATCAGCGCCGCCGCCGATCCTCCAGCGCTTGCATGCAGGAGCCCGGCTACTTCTTGTCTTTCCAGATGGCCCGGGATCAAGGCTTGGAGCCGTGCGGGAGCCCAGCTAGTGACCCTCAGTCCACATATGCTCTGCGCTACACCGGACCCGACCGAGGAAAGGTGTGCCCATGTACGAGGATGGCATGGACCTGGATGCGTGCGCCGTCGCCAGGGCATGCCAGGGCTAGTTCCGGTCGATGTCTTGCCAGGAACCCGGATTGAAACTCTCGCTGAGGCTCGAGCAAGTGTGCAAGGAGTCGATGGGGAAAGTAAAGCTTGCTGCAGCCTCGGCCGGGTTCGCTGCGTGGCGCTTCGCGCAACAAGCACGAAAGCATGTGTGTCTGTAGTCAAGGAGGTGTTTTCTGGACGGAGCACTTGATGTCCGTTGTAGCTGAGGCCCGTGCATCACAACCCAGCAGGCACCGATGATTTCCGATGCAGTTTGCACTGTCAAGATGGGAGTCTGCCGCCACCATTCACACAGCTCCACCAGCACTCTGACAGATGCTCACCCGTCCAGGAGGAGGGTATTGTCAGGGAATCAGGAGGGTGGGTTTTTGAGGTGATGATGACAAGCCAGACACCGGCGACGGTGGTGTGTGCATCAAGCATGGGTGGCCTGCTGGGTTGCGTGCAGGGTCGATGTGAACACTCCAGCTGAGTCTCTGTTTGATGGTGTTGGGACATGGTGGAGCCACATGTCGGCAACATACTCATGTCGCCAGCGTCCCCAAAGGATTTTCGCACGATGCCCCTATAGTCATGTACTTAGAACCTAGAGCGGTGTTGCTTGCTGTTCTGGCTACATCACATCCAAAGAGAAGCGTGTCAGGCTATTGCAGCTTGCCAGGCCACGTGCTTCAGCTTGCTCGGACAGCAGCGAAAGGCATGCTCGGAAGACTTGAGAAGCTCAGGGATTTCCAGTTCTTCGTGGTGGCGGATGAGATGTACCAGCTGCTCACTTTCAGCCAACTGAGGCACACCACTTAATGCCAGTTCTTGACTGGAAGCTGGCTTGCTCTGAGAGGTGAAGCCCCTCTTCTACCACGATGATGCTGATGATCCGCCCTTTGCCAAGATGGTGTGAGGTTGAAGTTGTTCACGGGCGGAAGCAGGATCCCATTGTGGGCGGGATGCTTGCGAGTTGGGGAAGCCATGGTTTCAAATTTCCGCTGATTGCTGTTGAGTCGTGCGCCCGTCACTACACTGGGCAGATTTCAGAGTGAAGCGAGCCAGTCCGTTGGCGAGGCGGGTGTTTTCCATCGGAACTTTCTCCAAGCTCATTGGCCCTGGCATCAAAGCGTGGGGGCTCAGCACCGCGAAGAAGGATTATAGAGACTGCTGTAGCACTGGCAGTCGTCTTTCGCCGCACTTGCGGAGTCCTCGAGTTCTTCGTGTCCTGCTGCAGAACGCTTGCTTGGGCCTCGTCGTGCCGAAAGCTGGGGTCGGCTGGGTTCAGGCCCACCCGAAGCTGCGAAGCTGGCGGTCCGGTCCGGGCTTGTGTAACTTGAAGGGAGACCGAGCACATCTCAGCCGCCTGAAGTGGCAGGCCCCTTGCCGGCCTCGGATTCATTCGCAGTGGCACGGGCCTCGACCTCCCGAAACGGACGACTCCGACATTACATCATTGGGCCAACGGGTCCATGGCAAGGTGTTGCGAGCGTGCGTATCTTTGTCAGGGAACAACCCTGTGATCTTCTCGTCCATGAATCTGCTGCACTTCGTCGAGTGGGTGCCCCGGGTTAACGGCCAGAGGTTGAGGCAGCGTTCTGAGGATTTTTAGTGGGGTAGTGCTCAGAGTCTGGAGAGCTACAGGTCTGGCGCTCTGGCCAGGCACATCGAAGTGGCCCGGCTCCTGCTGCATGTTGCTGCAAGCCGGAGCAGCTTCTTCACCGAGGAAATGCAGTCACAAAAGTTCCGAGACCGTTTTGCCAAGGTCTCGAAGGACCTGGGCGAAAGGCTTCGGGCTGAGATCAGCTGCACAGCGTGGGTCGTCAGGTCTCTCAGATCTGCGGTTCCGGGCAGCCGCGTCGCAGAGCAGAGGTGCCAACTCATCTGCCGAAAGCTTCGCGAAGTTGGTCTCGAGGCCGTGCTGCAATGTGTGCCAGTAAAAGCGCTGGCTTGCCTGAGACAGGTGCACGAGCCCAAGGGCGGCTACTCTGTCTGGGCCGACGGCTCTGGTTCGCAAGTGGGCCCAAGCGCAAATGGGGGCAGGGCACCGTGCTGAGGTCAAGTCCAAGGGCAAGATGACGGGACGAGGTGCCGTGTGAGACCGGCCTTGCGACTCGTATCAGAACTCCGCTGGAGGTGGTCAGGACATGGCCGTGAAGGGTGACAAGTTCCACGACTACATGCGCCTGTGCTACGGCTTTCGCCTCAGCTCCGATCATCTCCGAGCCAACCAACTTCGGCACTCCTCTCTTGTCCTGGCGGATCCCAACCCAGGCTGGTTGTCGCCGGAGCAGCTGGAGGAAGGTATCGAGTGCGCACCGAATCGCCAACCCTCTCCGTTCACAAATATGCGGTTTCCTTCTTGCGTTTTTTTGGAACGCTGAGCAACCCAAGCAAGAGCTGAATGTCATCATGTCCTCGGCTTGATTAGTCGGGTGCGTCTACGCAGGAGTACGAAGGTATTCACACAAGCAGAGGGATTGGGAAGGTATACGGAGTAGAGTCGGAGTAGGTAAGGCTTCCGGAATCAGAGGGCAACTCACCCTAGGGCCAGTGCTGGTTTAGGAGTCGGGGTGGCAGGCTGCAAATCTGAAGCTGTCCAGGCCCATTCGCTGCCTTTGAGCCGTAGGTTTGAAGTACCAAGTCTACCGTGGGCATATGGACTACATGTGTGGGCACGGCACCGGAACCTGTGGCAAATGGTGAGTTCCGACAAAATACTATGAAAATTGATGGAGTTGCGTAGTGCCTCCCGAGAGAATGGAGAGGTTTTCCACCCCACGCCTCTACTCCTCCCCTTTTCAGAGCGTGGTCGCTTGCTCGTTGTAGGCAGAGTTGCAGAGCAGAGCCATCCCTTCGGCGATCTGAAGCGAACTGTTTCGGCAGGGCTGCGCGTGGACACCCTCACGGCGAGACGGTTCCGTCGGAAGCCCAATCAGGGCAGACGTCGTAGGATCGGAAGCGTCCCGGACACCGGTCACGCTTTGGATTTTGAATGTTTTCAGCACCTTCGCCACGACTCTCCACTGTGCACTCTTTGGAGGGGCGCCATCGCCAAGCAAGCCCGTAGGTGTAGCATACCATCGCCATGGTGCCATTCGTCAATCCGACGCCAAGCTCTGCGGAGGTCGAAGGCTCAGAGGAAGTGGTGAAGGTCGGCCCTTCTTTCGCCCGGGGCACATTTGGCACTGTGCACCCGTGCAAGTTGAATGGGGAGGATGCAGTGGTGAAGCTGCCGCGAGTCCACGTGTTGCCTTTCCACGTCAACGGCGTGCTCCTCCTGGGCGAAGTGGACGATGTGAAGCGAGTGCGTCGTCGCGAGGAAATGCTGCAAGAGGAAGCGAAGGTCCTCCAGTTGCTGCGCGATTGCCCGTGCGTTGTTCCTTGGCTCTGCAACATCCGGGCATGGGTCGATGGTGTGCAGGTACGGGGCATGGCCTTGCAGAAGATGGACTGCTCCTTGCGACAGCTTTGGACGGACAGCACCCGCACTCAGCTGAACGTCAATCAGAATCGTTGCCGCAGCGTCCGATTGGCAGGCATCCTCGGGTCAGCGGTTAACATTTTCTTCGCATTGGGCAGGATGCACGAGAGCGGGTTCTGTCACATGGACATCACGCCGGAGAACTTGCTGTGGAGCGAAGCTAACTGCCAGTTGTACCTTGCGGACTTCGGCTCAGCTGCACGACGGCCAGGATTCACATGGCGGGAATTGCAGGATCTGCCCGAAAGAGCCAACATCCGTCAGAGCTATGCTTTGGCTTTCAGAGGGGTGTGGGAAGTGCTGCCAGAGCTGCACGGTCAATTCCAGACACTCCTCGAGAATATCCAGACACGCGGCCAGGAGACCGCCAGCGACATGAAAGTCGAGCTGCCCCTTGCCGACCCCCGGCTGGACTACTTCGCACTCGCGGTCATTCTGCGCTACCTGCTTGGATTTCAAGAGGATGACACCGGAATTAATCATCTCAGGCCGACTGGCGTAGTAAGATCCATTCCACATTCCTTCCGTCCACGGAGACAAGAGAGGCCATGGGGCCAGGCAGATCGCACGTGGCCATCACTTTTGGAGGCGGCTCTCCAGCTGCGGGCCTTGGAGGCGGCTCTCCAGCTGCGGGCCTTGGAGGCGGCGGAGCACGAGCTCAAGGAGAAGGGAGATTCCTTCTTGGATGATGCCCTGAGGACTTGCCTGCAAGATTTAGCAGAGAGTCACGAGAGGCTCATGAGGCTTCAGGAGCTCGACCTCTGGCGGGGGAGGCTTAGCCCGGGACCCAGCGGACCTCTCGTTTTCTGGCAGAGAGATTCCTCCGGCACGCCCGTCAGAATCATGTCCTTCGACCTTGGGAAGCTGGGAGAGAAGCCGGAGCGCTTGGTTCACGAGGCGAAGAAGGAGCTCGCTGAGTGCTTGGGCTGTTGTCCTCCCCAAATCAAGCTGTGGGCTTTGCTGCGGCCCCGCTACGAGAATTTGGAGGAGGAGGTCCTACCAGGTATGAGCTCCGAGCAGCTGGATTCGCCCCTCCTGCGCGTGGAGGTGATGCCGGTCAAGCAACTCCAGAATAACTTCGAGTTCTCTCAGCAATGGAGGCAAGCCAGCTACCATGAGGTTTGGTATTGGCTGAACAGCCGCCACGTGCACCCCGAGAATGTCGTTCTGAAGGTCCTCATCGACGCAGGGCCCGGGCCAAGCCGTGCGATGATGGAGAACCGCAATCCCAGGCCCAAGCATCAATTTAGATCGCGGCTCCCTGCTCACATTTTATCTGTACAGACGGCTGCGTGTCAAAATGACATGTCGGTCAACGTAGTGCTTCACCGCCGCACTTCGGAGCATGAGGAAGGATTCTTCAGCGTTTGAGTGTTTTTCCAGCGTTCCCGCAGCGGAGTATGAATATGTCGGCTGCATGTCTGTGTGAATATGCGCGTGTCTGCCTGTAACAGACCAATGAACGCATCGGCAGTTCAGCTGATTTAACATGCGAGTGGCCTTCAGCACGTTTCCCTCGCTCTGCATCCTGCAAGCCTGGCCTATGGTCAGAATTTAGTAGTCTGTTTTCCAGCAGCTGCTGTCCACGGCAACGTCGATAAATGAATCTGTGACGATAATGTGGAGAGCAACTCCGGACCTGACAGATAGCGTGCAAGCTTGCAGACTTTCATGCTTCTAGTTTCATTTTGTGACCGTACAGGTCAACATAAACAAAAGCCAGAACAGGTCAAGGCAAAAAGCATGGCACTTGTTGCGCTGTGCTTCCATGGATACAGAACATCGTGCAGGGCTGTTGAGGAGCGGCTGTCGCAGCAAACCAGCAGCAAGCCAAGGTCTCGATTGGGACGCTTTGTTGCAGACACCGGCCCTGTGTTTGCCATGCTGGACCTCGAGGCTTCTTGCAGTTCTGTGATCCGGATGAAAGCAGACAAAATACTACGACAATCGATTGAGTTGCGCATGTCTGCAGTGCCTCCCGAGAGAACATGTTTTCGACCCTGCCTGCAGTGCCTTCTGAGCGAATAATATGTTTTCGACCGACCCCACGCCTCGACTCCCCTGTTCAGACAATGGTCGCTTGCTCGATGTAGGCAGAGTTGCGGAGCAGAGCCATCACTTCTGCGACTTGAAGTGAGCTGTTTCGCCAGGGCTGCGCAAGGACACCGCCAGGCGAGACTGTTCCGTCCGAAGCCTACGTAATCAGGGCGGATGTCGTAGGATCGGAAGCGTCCCGCACACCGGTCACGCACACCGGTCACGCAATGTAGCAGTGTCAGGGGGTATTTCTGGTGTTTACGGCGGAGGTGTTCTCAGTAAATACGAGGATGCGTCCGCGATGTGATTGCTTCGGGAGCAGCTGGGGAGAGCTTGGGGAGTGGGTTGGGAGTTATGTAGTTGGGAGCAGCTGGTACTTGGCGAAGTCGAAGTAGAAGTAGACGCAGAAGTGGAAAGTAGAAGGAGAAGGAGAAGCAGAAGTAGAAGTAGAAGGAATAGTATGTAGTCAAATGCAAGCAGTTCAAAGGTCATAATTAAGTGCCCACATCCGACTCCTGATTGCGCGAGCCGTTTGGCATTCTGCGGCAGCCTAGAGGGTTTGATTGCGTCAGATGGAGCAAGTCGACTGGAGCCAGGTGCGGTCCTAGTCGCTGGTGTCTCCATAGACTCTCCACAGTCGCCAGCTGCTGACAGCGTTTGTAGGTGATGACGGCGCTCACACAAGCTTTCGCTGTTGAGAATAACAAGCCAAATTTCTCGTACAAAGAAGCTGCTGGGCATCAACGTGTTTTGTGGGCAGTTTATGGCTTACTCAGCAGCTTGTTTGAGTCTGCTTGTTGAGGTGATGAAGATGGCTCTCGAGAAGATTCGGAAGCATAATCGTAAGATGACAGGAACTTGGCACGAGGACTTTCAACAACAGGGTCTCGACGGGAAGCAGAGACTCGATGCCATGGGTGCAGCATGTTGTTGGGAATCCTCTCTGTCGGTGTGACTCAGGAAGTTTACTGGTTCGGCCACCTGGCGCGTGGGCGATCAAGAATGGAGCAGTTGCGGCGAAACCGAGTCAAACAAAGCGGAGGCCGAAGCTTGGCAGCAGAAAGGCACAGCATTTTCAGCAAAACCTGCGCAACAGCTCAGATGAGAAGCGCATGGGAGCAGCTCTACAGGCAGGTAAAATCGGCCGTGGAGGAGGCGACATGATAAATGATTTCGTTTGCCAGGAGACGTGTCTCTCGGTGAAATGTCGAGGCTGAGCAAAATCAGGTCTGCGTCCGGGTGGAGCTGAATCGCGCGCTCCCTCCGGCCTTCTGGGCAAATCGAAATTCATGTCCACGCTTTGTGTCTCGACTTGGCATTAGGCAAGTCGACACCCTGGGACTAAAAACTGCATGTGCATGGGATATGTTTGCACTGTATGGTGTCATGAGGCTGCCGTTTCGTGGTGGTCCATGCCGTTTTACACATTTTTTTCTTGCGCGCCTTTTCTGCATTCTGCTTGCAAGAACGGAGTCCGTCGTAAGCATCGCTGATGGCTGCTTGGTCCAAGGAGTCTTTTGCGGGAGATGCCAAAAGCAGCGCAGCTTTCTGGCACATTATGCGTTTGTGTCCTGGAAATGATTTACACATCTTCTCTGCGTCTGAGAGGTTGAGGGAGGTGGTCAGGGTCCGACACCCTGTACCTGCAGCAATTTCGGATTCGGCAGTAAAGCTGCATACTAATTACTCTCCAGAATCACCGATGAAAATTACAGACGTCCTTCATCCGCCCTAACAAGGATCGAATCAAACTCCAAGTTCGGCTAAGAGTTAGACGGATTGACCAGGTAAAAACCACTGCAGTGCATGACTTTGACAGCTATTTGTCATCACACCGCCTCCGCTCATAGCATCTTCGCATGTACGGTATGCCGCACTTCCCCAGACACCTTAGATTAGATTTCCAGAGCCGGCACCAATGTGTGCCAAATGCGCGCAAGGCCGTAGCAGCAAATTCGGATTCAGGGGGAAAGAGCTCCGACCGGAAGTGCCACTTTGACTCCAACCACCGTGTGGCCTGACAGATTCTCCAGGACGACCATGACGTGGAATGAAGATTCGCCCAATCGGCCGTTAAGCTCTTTGCCTAGACTGTTCCTGACGCCACCACACACACATGTTTTCCCCTTGCTCAAACATCAACCCACCTCTACCCACAGGGGCTGGGGGCACCACCATGTGCACGGGACGTGTTGGCCGTTGGCTCCGCGCGGTGTAACGAGGCATGTTTCTCCCGAATATGCCTGCAGAACGGAGATGGTATATCAACGTCGCAAGCATCGCCGTTTATTGCTTTGGTCCAGGAGCAAATCGTCGTCACAGGAGAGACATGAGACGTGTGCTGGAAATATGTGGTTCCCAGCACACAGTCATTTGCGTGTCCGTCTCTGCATCTGGGAAATTCTGGGAGGTAGATATTTTTTTGCCAAGGGTTCGGCACGCCACACCTGCACTTACTTCGGATTCCGGGGACGGAAAAGTTCGTTCTGACTAGCGTGACAGATTCTGCATGCAGGCCATCTCTTAATTTTGCTTCTAGACTTAGACGGGGCCGAACATTCCCACCCTGACTCCGGGGGTCAGATAGATTCTCGATGGCAACCATGTCGAAAGAAGTAAGCGAGGCACTTAGAGTAGAAACCCTTCGGAGACGGCAGAACCGTCGCCATACTCGAATCGGCATCTCTGGAGCGTTGCTTCCTCTGCTTTGTAAACCAGTTGAGCTTGACACTCCGCAAGTCTGCTAGTCAGATGGCATCCAATCTGTGCCGCACCATGCAACATGCGCGACCCTATCGATATAGGCTGCTAGCGGTTTAGCATGTGCCTCTGCAGACTGCAAGTCCTACGTCGATACCGGTACCTGTTCTTGCAAAGGCATTTAGACATGTCTTCTGGACAACGAATCGATTTATAGATGGGTGCCGTGTGCGTGAATGTGTACATGTGTGCTTTGTCACAGACATTCACAGACACCAATGAACCGAGAAGCGGTTCAGCCTATTTGATATGTGAGTGGTCTTGCGCAAGTTTTACTCAGTGATGCATGATGCTTTGGCTTTGCATGCTGCAAGGTTGTTGGCAGAATTCAGCAGGGCAGTCCGCTTTCCAGCAGCTGTCCACTGCAACGTCGATCGACTTACAACTCTGCGACGTTGGTGTGGGGAGAGCTTCAACTCCGGACCAATACCATTTGGGAAAGGTGGCGGGGGGTGGAGGGGGTGCACGCAACGAGGCCGCCATCCCGACAAGCATGTCGCCTATGTTTATGTGGAGTTCCCCTACGAAACTGTAGAACGGTAGAACGGAGAGGGTGCACCAACGCCGTAAGCACCCCCCTTTGTTGCTTTTGTCCAAGGAGTATATCGTCGCGGCAGACACGCAAAGCAACGCAGCTTTCTTGCACTTCATGAGATGTGTGTTGGAAAATGTGGTTCCCAGCACACGGTCATTTGCGTGTCCGTCCTGCGTGTGGGAGATTCTGGGAGGTAGATGGAGAAAAATTGCTATCAGGGGTCCAGCACCCCACACCTGCAGGTTTGTTCGGATTCAGGGCGATGGAGACACTTTGCTGCCTGGATTCCGGATTCATGGGGGGCGGAAAGGTAGTCCCACTTTGACGCTAATCTTGCGGCCGGATGGATTCTCCAGGGTAACCATGCCGAAAGAAGCAACGCACAACTCAGAACCAGCACGGAAGAGCGCAATGTAAGCTGGGCACTTGGAGCAGGACTCCCCTCAGACTGCATATATGATGCAGGGCTGCTGCATTCCCCCCTCCCCCCCGCCCCATGGTATCACCCTCCTTGCCAGTGGGTAGTCTTCTTGTTTGGCCTTTTTGCTTTCCCCGTCTTTTTGGGTGGTCTTGTTACGCCTTGTCCCCTCCCCCCCTGTGGGAGTGGGGCCTGTGGTCGTTTTGGTTGGCCCCGCCCCGACTGTGGGGGGCAGTGTGTTCAGATTACAGACCCCTCGTCCTGCTCGATCGGCATTTCTGGAGTTGCTTGCTCTGCTTTGTCCATCTATGGAGCGTGACACTCCGCAAGTCTGCTAGCTAGACGGCATCCAATCTGTGCCGCAGCATGCGACATGTCCCACACCCTATCGACACAGCAAGTTCTAGCAGGCCGCCGTCGTTACATGTTCTTACAAAGGCATTTATAGACATGTATTCTGGACAACTGGACGGAGCATGTTTCCAGGCTTTGTGCAACGAGGCCACATTGCAAGCCAGTGCTATAACCCATGTGTATCTCGCATGTAACTGTGCTGAGCCGTGTTTCCAGGGAGGGCAGATTTGAAAAAGGCCGGTCAATTTCGTGGAGGTTGCTCCGCGTTGCGCTTTGATGGCAGGGCAGCGGAGAAGAGTTTCCCGCATCTGCGACCGGGTCTGCTTCCGCAAACGTGGCAGACAATGCAGCTTTCTCGAGCTTCACAGCCGCTGGCATGGGCACGGATGCCGGGCCACGTGCTGCAAGCATGCAGATGTGCGAAGACGGGTCACGGTTGGGAGCGTTGATGGCTGAAATCAAGCCTGCGGCAGCCTCAAGGGAGCGGGTGCGTGACCTTGGCAAGGCGGAGATGACAAGATCCTACTTGGCTGAGGTTGAAGACGAAGAGCCTGATGAGGATGCAGTGGCGCCTGGCTCGAGTGACAGCCCTCTGTGTGACACAGCACATTCATGCAGTTCCCCGTGGCCCGAGATGGGAAGTCAAGTGGGCCCTCTTCCGCAAGTCCAGCAGTGTGCATGCCCCTGTTGTGGCTCAGGTGCCTTCTGGTGGTACAGTCGTTAAGTACACGCCCGAAGACGAATCGATTTATGTATGGGTGCCGCGTGCGTGAATGTGTGCATGCCTGCCTATACAGACACCAATGAGCCGAGAAGCGGTTCAGCATATTTAAAGCAGCAAGCTGATGCAAGATGCCCTTTGTGGTCAAAATTAAACAATGCAGTCCGTTTTCCAGCAGCTGTCCACTGCAACGTCGACTCACAACGCTATGGCGTTAATGTGGAGAGCAACTCCGGACCTGCCAGATAGCGTGCAGCTGTACAGGTGAGCACAAACAAGAGCCAGGGCCAAAGCAGATAAACAAGGCGGGACTTGTTACGCAGAAGAATTTGTCGTCGCGAGGTGAGTCCGGGCGCATCGCTTCCAGCCAAGGCCTTGATTGGGATGTCTTCTTGCAGACGCCGGCCCTGTGCTTGCCTTGCCGGACCTCGACCCTTTATGCGGCTATATGCAGTTCCGTGATCTGAACGAAAGAAGCAGGTTCAAAACTTCTGGATTCTAGAGTCTAGAGCTTCTCATGCCGGGCAAGCTTGCGTTCAAGGTTGAGCTGTGGTGCTCCCATGTCCATGTTGATCGAGAGGCGGCAGGCGAGCTGCCGAGTTCCAACGAAGTACTACGACAATAGATTGAGTTTGCGTATGTCTGCAATGCCTCCTGAGCGAATAAAGACGTTTTCGACCGACCCCAGGCCTCTACTGCCCTGTTCAGAACGTGGTCGTTTGCTCGATGTAAGCAGAGTTGCAGAGCAGAGCCATTCCTTCTGCGACTTGAAGCGAACTGTTTCGGCAGGGCTGCACGTGGACACCGCCACGACGAGACTGTTCCGTCCGAGGCCTATTCAGAGCCGGAAGTCTCAGGATCGGAACGTGTCCCGGACACCGGTGCGGCTTTGATTAGCTTTGCCTTTTTGTTTTCATCACCTTCGCCATGTTTCGCTGCTGCGCACTCTTTGGAGGGCTCGGTCGCAAAGCAAGCCCGTGCAGTAGATTTCAGCCCTCCCAGAAAAGCGATAACTTCCACGCAACATTGATATGAGACTCGCAAGACACAGTCGGAGTGTCAGGAAGGTTCGGAAAATTTTCACCCGGACGCTGCACGCCCTGCGCACCACCATGGTGTCGTCCTTCGTTCCGACGCCCAGCTGGGCGGAGGTCGTTAGCACGGGGCAAGAGCTGAAAGTCGGCCCTGCTTTCGCCAAGGGCACATTTAGCACAGTGCACCCGGTGGACGGCAAGGTGAATGGCGAGGATGTAGTGGTGAAGCTGACGCGAGTCCACAGGTTGCATTACCACGTCAACGACGTGCTCCTCCTGGACGAAGTGGACGATGAGAAGCGATTGCGTGGCCGCGAGGCAACACTGCAAAAGGAAGCGAAGGTCCTCCGCTGGCTAAGCGAGTGCCCGGTTGTGGTTCCTTGGCTCGGTGACATCCGGGCATGCGTCGGTGGGGAGACAGTAACTGGCATTCTCTTGCCAAAGATGAAAAGAACTTTGCGACAGCTTTGGGACCGCAGCAGCGCTCAGCTGAACGTCAATCAGAATCGTTGCAACAGCATCCGATTGGCAGGCATCCTAGGGTCCGTGGTTGACATTCTCTGGGCATTGGGCAGGATGCGCGAGTGTGGGCTCTGTCACATGGATATCACACCGGACAACTTGCTGTGGAGTGAAGATCACTGCCAGTTGTACCTGGCGGACCTCGGCTCAGCTGCACGACGGCCAGGATTCACATGGCGGGCATTGCAAGATCTGCCCGAAACTGCCAACATCCGTCGCAGCTATGCTTTGGCCTTCAGAGGGGTGTGGCGGGTGCTGCCGCAGCTGTATGGTCAATTCCATAGCTGCTCCTTTGTTCACTTTCAGCTCCACGATGAGACCCCCAGCGACATGAAAGTCAAGCTGCCCCTTGCCGACCCCCGCCTCGACTACTTCGCGCTCTTGATCATTCTGCGCAACCTGCTTGGAAAGAAAGGTTTTGTCGCCGGTGGTCGCGATGATCGCTATCCAGAAGGCGAAGCCAGGACGATTCCGCACTCCTTCGATCCACCGGAAGCCGAGAAGCCATGGGGCCAGGCAGATCCGACGTGGCCATCACTTCTGGAGGCGGCTGTCCAGCTGCGTGCCTTGAACCATAGGCTGGAGGCGCTTCCACCGCAGCCGGAGCACGAGCTCAAGCAGAAGGGAGAGTCCTTTTTGGACGATGCCCTGAGGACTTGCCTCCAAGATTTAGCAGAGAGCCGCCAGAGGCTCATGAGGCTTCAGGAGGTAGACATCCAGCAGGGGAGGTTTGGCCCCGGACCCGACGGACCTCTCGTCTTCTGGCAGAGAGATTCCTCCGGCACGCCCGTCAACATCATGTCCTTCGACCTTTCGAAGCTGGGAGAGAAGCCGCAGCGCTTGGTTCACGAGGCGAAGAAGGAGCTCGCAGAGTGCTTGGGCTGTTGTCCTCCCCAAATCAAGCTGTGGGCTTTGCTGCGGCCCCGCTTCGATAATTTGAAGGAGGAGGAGGAGGAGGTCCTACCAGGTCTGAGCTCCGAGCAGCTGGATTCGCCCCTCCTGCGCGTGGAGGTGATGCCCCTCCAGCAACTCAAGAAGGAGCTCGGCTTCGAGTTCTCTGAGCATTTGATGAAAACCAGCTACGAGGAGGTCTGGTACCTGCTGAACAGCCGCCACCTGCACCCCGACTGCATCTCTCTGCGGGACCTCATCGACGCAGGGCCCGGGCCATGCCGCGCGGCCCTGGAGAACGGGGCGGATCCCAACCAGATCAGTGACCGGAGACACAGAGACCCCATGAGGGCGGCATACTATGGAGATGGCAGAGGCACTACGCCCCTGACTTACACAACCGAGAAGATGCCCTATGCGTGGGACAGCTGGGGCGGGTTTCGCCAAGAGAGTGCCAAGGTGCGGTGGGGAGAGTGGGGGAGGCACAAAATAGCGCCGTGTAAGTATTCGCACAGCATCGTATCACTAGCAGAAGGCAAGAAGCTACTGGTTTAATCCAGTCTGAGGATATCTGTGCGCATGTGGGCTTTTGCACTGTAGGCCTGTAGGCATGGCCCAAGCAGGTAGCGCGACATCCTTCGTCCATAAATTACAGCACAGCTCCCTGCTCACTTTTTATCTGTACGATGCTTGTTTATCACTTGACGAGAAGGCTATGGAGATCATGCAGATGCTCTTGGACGCTGGAGCACGGGTCAACAAGGTTGATGGCAACGGCAACACTCCCCTGTCGCTGGTGCAGCAGAAAATTGAAAGGCGGCGTCGGCGAGAGCTGTGTGCTACATATCGTGACGCTCGTAGTCTGCTGCTCAGAGCTGGTGCAACCCGCTGGCCGCGCCTGTGGGCAGCCTCGAACAGGCTTGTACACATGACTGCGTGTCAAAATGACATGTCGGTCAACGTAGTGCGTCACCGCCGCACTTCGGAGCATGAGGAAGGATTCTTCAGCCTTTGAATCTTTTTCCATCGTTCCGTTTAGCTATGTTTAGCTGCATGGTTTTAACAGATAATTAGAGGATTCTAGCTCAGGAGCTCTGTCCCCGACGATCATCGATCAACGGGCGAGAGAGACGCTTATGCCAAAATGCCGAGTGACTCTGCTGGTGCATGCAGCTTCCGGCCAGATGCCAGCCAACCGAGTTTGACACTGACGGGGTTCCGAGCAATTGCCTGTACCCAGCGATGTAGCAGTGGGAGCCCTACACGTGCATGTGTAAGGTCATCGTTGAGATTCGGTGAGCCTCGAAACGGCGAGGTGGCATTCTTAGGGGTCAAGCTGCATCTCGGAAGCACTTCAAGCAGTTTTGACACGGCAGACCTGGGGCTCCTTTGTGCAGGCAGACCAAAGCTTTCCAAGGCAATGTGCAACTGCCGCAGGCAAAATGGACCGCATGCCAGTGCGGAGAGCTTGAGGCGGATCTGCAGATTCTTGCGGTTTCATGCAGATCCGTGATCTGAACGAATGAATCAGGCTAAACACTTCTGGAGTCTAGAGTTCTCATTCCAGGCATGTATGTATTCAAGTTGAGCTGTGGTGATGTGAATTGTCTTCATAAAGACTGCTTGTGACTTATTTGTATTTAAACAATTCGCACGCTGTGTTTATGAATTCTCATGTCCATGTTGGCCGAGGGGCAACAGGGAGCTGCCGAGTTCCCTCAAAATACTAGGTCACCGGTGCTGCATACAAGAATTGGATGCGACTTAGCTTGAGCTTCCGCCGGATCCTTACACTCTGGCGGGAGCATCGCAGCCTCAAAGACCCAAGAAGGGATCAAGTCTGTCCTTGTCAGAATTCTGGTTAAGGCTGCCGGGCTGTAGATGTATCTGGTCGTATCCGTATCAGTACCTTCGTATATTCCTCAGCCGTTCGGGACTATGAAGCTTCACACGAGGTCGCGGCATGCTGGCTGAAAGAGGATCGTCGCAGAAAGGTCAAAAAGCTGCCACCACCAAGAATAGTTACATGTGTGCATGTAAGGCCAAAGAGATGCCACCTGCCGACATGCCAGAAATCACGCCGACACACCGACATTGCCAAGCTGATGTCGTCGTGATGCCAGGCAGACGTTGCATGGAACAACTCCCCCTGGCATACTTCTTAGACTAGGCTAGCTGAGAGCAATAGGAAGCGGCAGTGTCAGTGCAAGTTTGGGTGATGTATAATATGAGAAGGCTTGCGGATGTTGGTCCAAAGGCATGTGAATCTCGCAATGAGGCATGGCAGGATCTGCAAAAAAAACGCGACAAACACACAAGGCGGCCCGGCGAGTCGACATTCCGTTACTGCAAGTCGTAAACTTCACAAGGTTTCGCCCCTTGGCTGCTAAAATGTGCGTAAAGATGCTTAGGCTCTTGCCGGCTTAAGCGCGATTCAACTCGCAGCTTTCTACTGCAAGGCGTCGGTGCGAAATCCCGCAGGGTATCCGGGACTAACGCTCGCGCGCCTCAGATCACTTCAGCGTCTGGGGAGTCTGGGGAGCACTCGAGGCAGTTCCAGGGCAGTTCGACAAGACACGTTGCTGCGGTGGCGGCAAGTCAGGAAGTCACACCTTTGATTTCATTGCCATTGCGGTAGAGCACATGGTCGCGCTTGGTTGCATTCAAGACACTACAGTACCACTAGGAACTAGCGGTTGTTTTTACAGCGAATGCTGCCCCACGAGAACTAGTCCAGCTTTATCAATTGAATCCCAAGCTGGCCAGGAACTTGCGCTATCAGCCTGAGTGAGGACCCCCTGCTGTCTTCGCGAGAAGTCGACATTCCATGGCTGTCAAAGCTGTGTCATGCATAGGGGAATTTCAAGTTCTTTTCGCGGCATATGCGATGCACGGGGAATCTGCCAGCAGACTGCAGGGTCACGAAACTCTTACTCGCAGGAGCTCGAGGTTGAGACGCAGCTTTGCTGATTAGGGCCAAAATCTGGCGCCAAACCCCACCGGAAGCCGGGTTCGGGGCTACGCTGCCCTGTCAAGGACAAGTGACAAGTGCGGGTGGCAAGCGAACCGGGAGGGACGGGTGGAGAAGCGAGTCCCAGATGATGCTGGTTTTTTTAAGGATTCCATGGGATTCCCAAGAAGCACGTGCAGTTGGTTGTTTTGAGGATTTTGTTTGCTGTGAGGGCCTGGGTGGAGGGTCGCTGCATGCAGCGCGCTGATCGCTGCCTCGGCTCAGACAAGGTTTAGTTTTGGATGTCTGGTGGGATACTCGTGGGCGAAATGGTCGAAGACTCAGTCGGTGATGCTGAGCTTCGAACGGGCAGTGAAGCGGCGTGAAGCTACGCCAGCTGAGGCCGCACGCGCAAGCAAGGGTGCACCCCCCTCAGACCCATCACGTGGGGGAACGTGCAGGGTAGCTTCATCATTCAACTTCCACGGAGCTCCTGCTGGTTGGAGGGTTTTGAACCGCAAGCCGTCAATGCGTGCGCACGGATTGATGATGCTTCCGGAAAACCAAGGCACCAGAGCAGCAGGACTTTGTCAACGGATGGCAGCATTCCTGGGGCACTGACTGCAAAGATGAAGCGTTAGCCAGTGGGGATCGTGGAGACAGATAGCCCAAGCTGCTTCAACCCCGACAGAGCCTTCCTACCTAGCCTACCCTCGCACCACTGCAAATGAAGGGCGGGGATCGGGACCAAATGGACGACTGCTTTGATTCTCGCTTGCTTACAGCAGGGCATCGGCGCATGCTGCATGCGTGCACGAAGACGTTTTGCACATGCCGCATCAGCGAAAGAAGCACTGCATTGCCGCTTCCTCCCTGCCACTCGAGGCCACATCCGGGTCTTCTCAGCGGAGCTGCTCTGCAAGAGGATCTGGCCGAGAGCTTTCGCCGAGGCAGACTCTTTTCTGAGGATGATCTTCAGTTTTGTGCACGGCCCGATGGCAGGCGTGGCGAGGTCCATCGAGGAGCATTCCCTGAATTACGGGAACCCCGTCCGGGCCGCAGACCATGCAGACGGATTGCAGTGTATCTTACAGCCCTAGACGAGCTTCGGTCGGCTGATCCTGACATAGCCTGGCTGAGAGTTCTCAGACCAGGCAACCGGGTCCTACATGCTGGGGCATCCCAAGTTTCTCCAGGTGCAGAGACCGCTGCCTCAAGCATCCACCTGGTGCGAGTGCGCCCCCACGAGGCCATGGCGACTTTCCTCGAGGCTCAGTACGATGCGTCCGCTCCTGAGTGGCGCAAGTTTGCATTTGCTGAAGCACGTCAAAGAAGTCCTGCAGCCAGCGCTAAAGTCGCCGCAGGCCCGTTGATCCAAAAACCTTGATGTCTACGGTGGGTGCATCCATGGGCCTGATCCTCAGCACGGCCGTGATCTGGCCGTTTGCTTGCGTCACAGGGCTTCAAGCCTGGCATCATAGCGGATGTCGATCGACCTTGTCTTTACGAACATGCACAGCTCCGACGTTCGTCCAGCTCTGTCCAGTTCCATCCCTGCCATCTGAAGCGCTTATGCAACAGAGCCCGGCCGGTGTTGCCCAGCGTGCACGCTCTGCTTACACCAAGGCACCGACTTGTGCTTTCGCGCCTACGGCAAGGCAGGTGCACCTGGCCAACCCATCTTCCTGGGTCTAGCCAACCCCCTCTCTCTCGCACTCTCTCAATTGGTCTCTTCTTCGCAGTCTCGTTTGTTTTGCAGGCAGGCGACATCTGCATCTTTGAGGACATCTGTTCAAATCCAAGTGATCGGATGCAGCGCGACTGTATGTTTGCAAAAATCTTGTTTTACCGCCTCTACCAGGGCACGGCAGTGGCACTTGTGGAGCATACGAGGTACTGACTTTGTGCTATGTGCCCAGCACACCGGAGCTCGACACCCCATCATTGCTCTAGCCCATCAGTTGCATCAGCGCCGCCGCCGATCCTCCAGCGCTTGCATGCAGGAGCCCGGCTACTTCTTGTCTTTCCAGATGGCCCGGGATCAAGGCTTGGAGCCGTGCGGGAGCCCAGCTAGTGACCCTCAGTCCACATATGCTCTGCGCTACACCGGACCCGACCGAGGAAAGGTGTGCCCATGTACGAGGATGGCATGGACCTGGATGCGTGCGCCGTCGCCAGGGCATGCCAGGGCTAGTTCCGGTCGATGTCTTGCCAGGAACCCGGATTGAAACTCTCGCTGAGGCTCGAGCAAGTGTGCAAGGAGTCGATGGGGAAAGTAAAGCTTGCTGCAGCCTCGGCCGGGTTCGCTGCGTGGCGCTTCGCGCAACAAGCACGAAAGCATGTGTGTCTGTAGTCAAGGAGGTGTTTTCTGGACGGAGCACTTGATGTCCGTTGTAGCTGAGGCCCGTGCATCACAACCCAGCAGGCACCGATGATATCCGATGCAGTTTGCACTGTCAAGATGGGAGTCTGCCGCCACCATTCACACAGCTCCACCAGCACTCTGACAGATGCTCACCCGTCCAGGAGGAGGGTATTGTCAGGGAATCAGGAGGGTGGGTTTTTGAGGTGATGATGACAAGCCAGACACCGGCGACGGTGGTGTGTGCATCAAGCATGGGTGGCCTGCTGGGTTGCGTGCAGGGTCGATGTGAACACTCCAGCTGAGTCTCTGTTTGATGGTGTTGGGACATGGTGGAGCCACATGTCGGCAACATACTCATGTCGCCAGCGTCCCCAAAGGATTTTCGCACGATGCCCCTATAGTCATGTACTTAGAACCTAGAGCGGTGTTGCTTGCTGTTCTGGCTACATCACATCCAAAGAGAAGCGTGTCAGGCTATTGCAGCTTGCCAGGCCACGTGCTTCAGCTTGCTCGGACAGCAGCGAAAGGCATGCTCGGAAGACTTGAGAAGCTCAGGGATTTCCAGTTCTTCGTGGTGGCGGATGAGATGTACCAGCTGCTCACTTTCAGCCAACTGAGGCACACCACTTAATGCCAGTTCTTGACTGGAAGCTGGCTTGCTTTGAGAGGTGAAGCCCCTCTTCTACCACGATGATGCTGATGATCCGCCCTTTGCCAAGATGGTGTGAGGTTGAAGTTGTTCACGGGCGGAAGCAGGATCCCATTGTGGGCGGGATGCTTGCGAGTTGGGGAAGCCATGGTTTCAAATTTCCGCTGATTGCTGTTGAGTCGTGCGCCCGTCACTACACTGGGCAGATTTCAGAGTGAAGCGAGCCAGTCCGTTGGCGAGGCGGGTGTTTTCCATCGGAACTTTCTCCAAGCTCATTGGCCCTGGCATCAAAGCGTGGGGGCTCAGCACCGCGAAGAAGGATTATAGAGACTGCTGTAGCACTGGCAGTCGTCTTTCGCCGCACTTGCGGAGTCCTCGAGTTCTTCGTGTCCTGCTGCAGAACGCTTGCTTGGGCCTCGTCGTGCCAAAAGCTGGGGTCGGCTGGGTTCAGGCCCACCCGAAGCTGCGAAGCTGGCGGTCCGGTCCGGGCTTGTGTAACTTGAAGGGAGACCGAGCACATCTCAGCCGCCTGAAGTGGCAGGCCCCTTGCCGGCCTCGGATTCATTCGCAGTGGCACGGGCCTCGACCTCCCGAAACGGACGACTCCGACATTACATCATTGGGCCAACGGGTCCATGGCAAGGTGTTGCGAGCGTGCGTATCTTTGTCAGGGAACAACCCTGTGATCTTCTCGTCCATGAATCTGCTGCACTTCGTCGAGTGGGTGCCCCGGGTTAACGGCCAGAGGTTGAGGCAGCGTTCTGAGGATTTTTAGTGGGGTAGTGCTCAGAGTCTGGAGAGCTACAGGTCTGGCGCTCTGGCCAGGCACATCGAAGTGGCCCGGCTCCTGCTGCATGTTGCTGCAAGCCGGAGCAGCTTCTTCACCGAGGAAATGCAGTCACAAAAGTTCCGAGACCGTTTTGCCAAGGTCTCGAAGGACCTGGGCGAAAGGCTTCGGGCTGAGATCAGCTGCACAGCGTGGGTCGTCAGGTCTCTCAGATCTGCGGTTCCGGGCAGCCGCGTCGCAGAGCAGAGGTGCCAACTCATCTGCCGAAAGCTTCGCGAAGTTGGTCTCGAGGCCGTGCTGCAATGTGTGCCAGTAAAAGCGCTGGCTTGCCTGAGACAGGTGCACGAGCCCAAGGGCGGCTACTCTGTCTGGGCCGACGGCTCTGGTTCGCAAGTGGGCCCAAGCGCAAATGGGGCAGGGAACCGTGCTGAGGTCAAGTCCAAGGGCAAGATGACGGGACGAGGTGCCGTGTGAGACCGGCCTTGCGACTCGTATCAGAACTCCGCTGGAGGTGGTCAGGACATGGCCGTGAAGGGTGACAAGTTCCACGACTACATGCGCCTGTGCTACGGCTTTCGCCTCAGCTCCGATCATCTCCGAGCCAACCAACTTCGGCACTCCTCTCTTGTCCTGGCGGATCCCAACCCAGGCTGGTTGTCGCCGGAGCAGCTGGAGGAAGGTATCGAGTGCGCACCGAATCGCCAACCCTCTCCGTTCACAAATATGCGGTTTCGTTCTTGCGTTTTTTTGGAACGCTGAGCAACCCAAGCAAGAGCTGAATGTCATCATGTCCTCGGCTTGATTAGTCGGGTGCGTCTACGCAGGAGTACGAAGGTATTCACACAAGCAGAGGGATTGGGAAGGTATACGGAGTAGAGTCGGAGTAGGTAAGGCTTCCGGAATCAGAGGGCAACTCACCCTAGGGCCAGTGCTGGTTTAGGAGTCGGGGTGGCAGGCTGCAAATCTGAAGCTGTCCACGCCCATTCGCTGCCTTTGAGCCGTAGGTTTGAAGTACCAAGTCTACCGTGGGCATATGGACTACATGTGTGGGCACGGCACCGGAACCTGTGGCAAATGGTGAGTTCCGACAAAATACTATGAAAATTGATGGAGTTGCGTAGTGCCTCCCGAGAGAATGGAGAGGTTTTCCACCCCACGCCTCTACTCCTCCCCTTTTCAGAGCGTGGTCGCTTGCTCGTTGTAGGCAGAGTTGCAGAGCAGAGCCATCCCTTCGGCGATCTGAAGCGAACTGTTTCGGCAGGGCTGCGCGTGGACACCCTCACGGCGAGACGGTTCCGTCGGAAGCCCAATCAGGGCGGACGTCGTAGGATCGGAAGCGTCCCGGACACCGGTCACGCTTTGGATTTTGAATGTTTTCAGCACCTTCGCCACGACTCTCCACTGTGCACTCTTTGGAGGGGCGCCATCGCCAAGCAAGCCCGTAGGTGTAGCATACCATCGCCATGGTGCCATTCGTCAATCCGACGCCAAGCTCTGCGGAGGTCGAAGGCTCAGAGGAAGTGGTGAAGGTCGGCCCTTCTTTCGCCCGGGGCACATTTGGCACTGTGCACCCGTGCAAGTTGAATGGGGAGGATGCAGTGGTGAAGCTGCCGCGAGTCCACGTGTTGCCTTTCCACGTCAACGGCGTGCTCCTCCTGGGCGAAGTGGACGATGTGAAGCGAGTGCGTCGTCGCGAGGAAATGCTGCAAGAGGAAGCGAAGGTCCTCCAGTTGCTGCGCGATTGCCCGTGCGTTGTTCCTTGGCTCTGCAACATCCGGGCATGGGTCGATGGTGTGCAGGTACGGGGCATGGCCTTGCAGAAGATGGACTGCTCCTTGCGACAGCTTTGGACGGACAGCACCCGCACTCAGCTGAACGTCAATCAGAATCGTTGCCGCAGCATCCGATTGGCAGGCATCCTCGGGTCAGCGGTTAACATTTTCTTCGCATTGGGCAGGATGCACGAGAGCGGGTTCTGTCACATGGACATCACGCCGGAGAACTTGCTGTGGAGCGAAGCTAACTGCCAGTTGTACCTTGCGGACTTCGGCTCAGCTGCACGACGGCCAGGATTCACATGGCGGGAATTGCAGGATCTGCCCGAAAGAGCCAACATCCGTCAGAGCTATGCTTTGGCTTTCAGAGGGGTGTGGGAAGTGCTGCCAGAGCTGCACGGTCAATTCCAGACACTCGGCCAGGAGACCGCCAGCGACATGAAAGTCGAGCTGCCCCTTGCCGACCCCCGGCTGGACTACTTCGCACTCGCGGTCATTCTGCGCTACCTGCTTGGATTTCAAGAGGATGACACCGGAATTAATCATCTCAGGCCGACTGGCGTAGTAAGATCCATTCCACATTCCTTCCGTCCACGGAGACAAGAGAGGCCATGGGGCCAGGCAGATCGCACGTGGCCATCACTTTTGGAGGCGGCTCTCCAGCTGCGGGCCTTGGAGGCGGCTCTCCAGCTGCGGGCCTTGGAGGCGGCGGAGCACGAGCTCAAGGAGAAGGGAGATTCCTTCTTGGATGATGCCCTGAGGACTTGCCTGCAAGATTTAGCAGAGAGTCACGAGAGGCTCATGAGGCTTCAGGAGCTCGACCTCTGGCGGGGGAGGCTTAGCCCGGGACCCAGCGGACCTCTCGTTTTCTGGCAGAGAGATTCCTCCGGCACGCCCGTCAGAATCATGTCCTTCGACCTTGGGAAGCTGGGAGAGAAGCCGGAGCGCTTGGTTCACGAGGCGAAGAAGGAGCTCGCTGAGTGCTTGGGCTGTTGTCCTCCCCAAATCAAGCTGTGGGCTTTGCTGCGGCCCCGCTACGAGAATTTGGAGGAGGAGGTCCTACCAGGTATGAGCTCCGAGCAGCTGGATTCGCCCCTCCTGCGCGTGGAGGTGATGCCGGTCAAGCAACTCCAGAATAACTTCGAGTTCTCTCAGCAATGGAGGCAAGCCAGCTACCATGAGGTTTGGTATTGGCTGAACAGCCGCCACGTGCACCCCGAGAATGTCGTTCTGAAGGTCCTCGAGGACGCAGGGCCCGGGCCAAGCCGTGCGATGATGGAGAACCGCAATCCCAGGCCCAAGCATCAATTTAGATCGCGGCTCCCTGCTCACATTTTATCTGTACAGACGGCTGCGTGTCAAAATGACATGTCGGTCAACGTAGTGCTTCACCGCCGCACTTCGGAGCATGAGGAAGGATTCTTCAGCGTTTGAGTGTTTTTCCAGCGTTCCCGCAGCGGAGTATGAATATGTCGGCTGCATGTCTGTGTGAATATGCGCGTGTCTGCCTGTAACAGACCAATGAACGCATCGGCAGTTCAGCTGATTTAACATGCGAGTGGCCTTCAGCACGTTTCCCTCGCTCTGCATCCTGCAAGCCTGGCCTATGGTCAGAATTTAGTAGTCTGTTTTCCAGCAGCTGCTGTCCACGGCAACGTCGATAAATGAATCTGTGACGTTAATGTGGAGAGCAACTCCGGACCTGACAGATAGCGTGCAAGCTTGCAGACTTTCATGCTTCTAGTTTCATTTTGTGACCGTACAGGTCAACATAAACAAAAGCCAGAACAGGTCAAGGCAAAAAGCATGGCACTTGTTGCGCTGTGCTTCCATGGATGCAGAACATCGTGCAGGGCTGTTGAGGAGCGGCTGTCGCAGCAAACCAGCAGCAAGCCAAGGTCTCGATTGGGACGCTTTGTTGCAGACACCGGCCCTGTGTTTGCCATGCTGGACCTCGAGGCTTCTTGCAGTTCTGTGATCCGGATGAAAGCAGACAAAATACTACGACAATCGATTGAGTTGCGCATGTCTGCAGTGCCTCCCGAGAGAACATGTTTTCGACCCTGCCTGCAGTGCCTTCTGAGCGAATAATATGTTTTCGACCGACCCCACGCCTCGACTCCCCTGTTCAGACACTGGTCGCTTGCTCGATGTAGGCAGAGTTGCGGAGCAGAGCCATCACTTCTGCGACTTGAAGTGAGCTGTTTCGCCAGGGCTGCGCAAGGACACCGCCAGGCGAGACTGTTCCGTCCGAAGCCTACGTAATCAGGGCGGATGTCGTAGGATCGGAAGCGTCCCGCACACCGGTCACGCACACCGGTCACGCAATGTAGCAGTGTCAGGGGGTATTTCTGGTGTTTACGGCGGAGGTGTTCTCAGTAAATACGAGGATGCGTCCGCGATGTGATTGCTTCGGGAGCAGCTGGGGAGAGCTTGGGGAGTGGGTTGGGAGTTATGTAGTTGGGAGCAGCTGGTACTTGGCGAAGTCGAAGTAGAAGTAGACGCAGAAGTGGAAAGTAGAAGGAGAAGGAGAAGCATAAGTAGAAGTAGAAGGAATAGTATGTAGTCAAATGCAAGCAGTTCAAAGGTCATAATTAAGTGCCCACATCCGACTCCTGATTGCGCGAGCCGTTTGGCATTCTGCGGCAGCCTAGAGGGTTTGATTGCGTCAGATGGAGCAAGTCGACAAGGCTGGAGCCTGGTGCGGTCTTGGTCGCTGGTGTCTCCAGAGACCCTCCACAGTCACCGGCTGCTGACAGCGTTTGTAGGTGAAGACCGCGCTCACAGAAGCTTTCGCTGCTGAGACGAACAATCGGCACCCCGTTTTCTCGCACAAAGAAGCTGCTTGGCATCAACGTGTTTAATGAGCAGTTCATGGCTTACTAAGCAGCTTGTTTGAGTCTGCTTGTTGAGGTGATGAAGATGGCTCTCGAGAAGGTTGGGAAGCATGACATCACAGGAACTTGGAGCGAGGACGTTCAAAAACAGGATCTCAACGGGAAGCCGAGACTCGATGCCATGGGTGCAGCATGTTGTTGGGAATCCTCTCTGTCGGTGTGACTCAGGAAGTTTACTGGTTCGGCCACCTGGCGCGTGGGCGATCAAGAATGGAGCAGTTGCGGCGAAACCGAGTCAAACAAAGCGGAGGCCGAAGCTTGGCAGCAGAAAGGCACAACATTTTCAGCAAAACCTGCGCAACAGCTCAGATGAGAAGCGCATGGAGGAAGCTCTACCTGCAGGTAGAAGCGGCCGTGGAGGAGGCGAAATGACAAAAGATTTCATTTGTGTCTCTCGGTGAGAGTGGTATGCCGAGGCCGAACAATCCGAACACAAGCAGGTCCCTGTCCGGGTGGAGCTGAATCGCGTGCTTTCTCCGGCCTTTCAGCAAATCCTAATTTATTTCCACTGTTCGTGTTTCGACTTGGCATTGAGGCAAGCTGACATGGTAGGAGTACAAGCTGCATGTGCATGGGACATGTTTGCACTGCATGGTGTAATGAGGCTGCCGTTTCGTGGTGGTTCATGCCGTACATATTCTTTTCTTGTGCGCCTTTTCTGCATTCTACTTGAAAGAAGGGAGTTGGTGCACCAACGTCGTAAGCATCGCCTATGGCTGCTTGGTCCGAGGAGTCTTTTGCGGGAGATGCACAAACCAGCGCAGCTTTCTCGCATATTATGGGTTTCTGTGCTGGAAATTAATTTGCACATCCTTCCCTTTGTCTGAGAGGTAGAGGGAGGAGAGTTGTGGTCAGGGGTCCGACACCCTGTACCTGCAGCAATTTCGGATTTGGCAACAAAGCTACATACTACTCTTCCAGAATCACCAATGAAAATTGCATACGTCCTTCATCCGCCCCAACAAGGATCGAATCAAACTCCAAGTTCGGCTAAGAGTTAGATGGATTCCTGTCCTGACCAGGTCAAAACCACTGCAGTGCATGACTTTGAAGCTATTTGTCACCACACCGCCTCCGCTTCTAGCATCTTCGGGTCCACGTGGACGGCATGCCGCGTTTCGCCGGAAACCTTGATTTCCAGAGCCGGCGCCAATGTGTGCCACATGCGCGCAAAGCTGTAGCAGCAAATTCGGAGTCAAGGGGAAATTCTCCGACCGGGCAGTGCCAGTTTGACCCCAACCACCGTGTGGCCTGACAGATTCTCCAACCGTCTGTTAAGCTCTTTGCCTGGAGTGTTCCTGACGGCCAAACACCAACCCACCCCTACCCACAGGGGCTGGGGCACCACTATGCGCACGGGACGTGTTTGCGACGCGCGGTGTAACGAGGCATGTTTCTCCCGAATATGCTTCCAGAATGGAGAGGGCACACCAACGTCGCAAGCATCGCCGTTTATTGCTTTGGTCCACGGAGCAAATCGTCGTCACAGGAGAAAGACAAAGCAGCGCAGCTTTTCTCGCACTTGATGACACGTGTGCTGGAAATGTGGTTCCCGGCACACGGTCACTTGCGTGTCCGTCTCTGCATCTGGGAAATTTTGGGAGGTAGATATTTTTTGTCAAGGGTTCGGCACGCCACACCTGAACTCACTTCGGATTCCGGTGACGGAAAAGTTCGGATGAGTGCCGTTCTGACTGGCCTGACAGATTCTGCATGCAGGCTATCTGTTCATCTTGCTTCTGGACTTAGATGGGGCCGAACGTTTGCCATTGATCAGTCCCACCCTGACTCTGGGGGTCAGATAGATTCTCGATGGCAACCATGTCGAAAGAAGTAAGCTAGGCACTTTGAGTAGAAACCCTTCTGAGACTGCAGAACCGTCGCCATACTCGAATCCGCATCTCTGGAGCGTTGCTTCCTCTGCTTTGGTCCATCAGTTGAGCTTGACACTCCGGAAGTCTGCCTAGTTAGAGGGCATTCAATCTGTGCCGCACCATGCAACATGCGCCACCCTTCCGACATAGGCTGCTAGCGGTATGGCATGTGCCTCTGCAGACTGCAAGTCCTACGTCGATACCGATACCTGTTTTTACAAAGGCATTTAGACATGTATCCTGGACAACAAACCGATGTATGAATGGTTGCCGCATGCATGAGTGTGTGCATGTGTGCCGATACAGACACCGATGAACCGATAAGCGGTTCAGCCATGTTCAGCCTATTCAATGTGTGAGTGGTCTTCATCAAGGTTCGCTCACTGGTGCATAATGCCCTGGCTCTGCACGTTGCAAGCCTGTGGTCAGAATTCAGCAGGGCAGTCCGTTTTCCAGAAGCTGTCCACTCCCACGTCGACTCGCAACTCTGTGATGTTGGTGTGGCAAGCTTCAACTCCGGACCAATACCATTTGTGGAAGGGAGGGGGCACGCAACGAGACCGCTTTCACGACAAGCATGTCGCCTATGTTAATTTGGAATTCCCCTGAACGAAGCTGTAGAACGGAGAGAGTATACCAACGTCGTAAGCACCGCCGTTTGTTGCCTTTGTCCAAGGAGTATATCGTCGCGTCAGACACGCAGAGCAACGCAGCTTTCTCGCACTTCATGAGATATGTGCTGGAAAGTTTGATTTCCGCAAACGGTCATTTGCGTGTCCGTACTGCGTCTGGGAGATTCTGGGAGGAGATTTTGGGAGGTAGATGGAGGAAAAATTGCTATCAGGGGTCCGGCACCCCGTGCCCGCAGTTTTGTTCGGATTCGGGGGGATGGAAACACTTTGCTTCCTTAATTCCGGATTCATGGGGGGCGGAAAGGTTCGGATCGATTAGTCCCACTTTGACTCTAATCTTGCGGCGGTAACCATGCCGAAAGAAGCAACGTGCAACGCAGAATAGCACGGAAGAGCGCAATGTAAGCTGGGCACTTTGAGCAGGACTCCCCTCAGACTGCATACCAGTTTTTGGGAGCGTTGCTTGCTCTGCTATATCCATCCATGGAGCTTGACACTGCGCAAGTCTGCTAGATAGCGGCCTCGTACATGTGCCGCACCATGCAACACAAGATGGTCGAGCCACCTTATGGACGCGTGCTTATATCGTGTTTCCACAACGTGAATATAGGCCGATGTCGTTACCTTTTCTTACAAAGGCATGTCGACATGTTTTCTGGCCAACTAGACGGATCATGTTTCAAGGCGTTGTCGCTTTTGTGAAGTGTTGCTCTGCGTTGTGCTTTGACGGCAGGGCAACGGTGAAGAGAATCCCAGATCTGTGACGCCCGCAAACATGGAAGACAATGCAGCTTTCTCGCGCTTCAGAGCGTCTTGTGTGGGCATAGATGCCGGGCCTCGTGCAACAAGCACACACATGCGCGAAGACGGGTCACGGTTTGGAACATCGAAGGCTGCCTTTACGCGTGCGGCGGCCTCAGGGGGCAGGCTCCCAGCTTTGGCAAGGCGGAGATTACAAGCCCATGTCTCACGTTGGCTGAGGTTGAAGACGAAAGTCCACAGAAGGGTGCAATGGCGCCTTAGCAGCCTTTCTTTATGACACAGCACAGCACCATACAGCGCCCTGTACGCGCCGATCGGAAGTCCGGCCCGCCTCCCAAAGTGCATGCCTGTGCTGTGGCTCAGGTGTTTTTTGATGGTACATTCATCAAATTGACGCCGGAGTACTATGACTAGGCTGATGAGTGCGTGAATGTGTGCGTGTCTGCCTATGACAGACACCAATGAACCGATAAGCGGTTCAGCCCATTTAACATGTGAGTGGTCTTCATCAAGGTTCGCTCACTGATGCATGATGCCCTGGCTCTGCACGTTGCAAGCCTGTGGTCAGAGTTCACTAGGGTATTGCGTTTTTCAGCAGCTGTCCGCGACAACGTCCACTCGCTACTCTGTGGCGTTACTGTGGAGAGCTGCAACTCCGGACCTGCCACATAGCGTGCAAGCTTGAAGAGTTTAGACTTGCTTCTAGTTTCATTTTGTCACCGTACAGGCGAGCATAAGCAAAAGCTCAAGCAGATCAAAGCGGATCAAGCAACATGGCACTTGCGCTGTGCATCCATGGATACAGATCATCGGGCAGGGAGCCGTTGAGGAGTGGGTGTCGCAGCAGACCTTCCGGTGGCCAGGTGAGTCAGGGCACATCGCTTCCCGAGTACTGCAGCATCAAGCCAAGGTCTCGATTTGGACGTCTTCTTGCAGTCTGCCGTGCTGGACCTCGAGGCTTTTTGCAGTTCTGCGATCTGAACGAACGGAAACAGACTCCAGACTTCTAGAGCTTCTCATTCCAGCACGTGATCATTCAAGTTGAGCTGTGTCCACGTGCTCACATGTCCACGTTGACCGAGGGGGAACAGGGATCTGGTGAGTTCCGACAAAGTACTATGAAAATTGATGGAGTGCGTAGGTCTGCAGTGCCTCCCGAGAGAATGAAGAGGGTTTCCACCCTACGCCTCGACTCCTCCCCTTTTCAGAGTGTGGTCGCTTGCTCGTTGTAGGCAGAGTTGCAGAGCAGAGCCATCCCTTCTGCGATTTAAAGCGAACTGTTTCGGCAGGGCTGCACGTGGACACCGCCACGGCGAGACTGTTCCGTCGGAAGCCTAATCAGGGTGGACGTCGTAGGATCGGAAGCGTCCCGGACACCGGTCACGCTTTGGATTTTGAATGTTTTCAGCACCTTCGCCACGACTCTCCACTGTGCACTCTTTGGAGGGGCGCCATCGCCAAGCAAGCCCGTAGGTGTAGCATACCATCGCCATGGTGCCATTCTTCCTTCCGACGCCCAGCTCGGCGCAGGTCGTAGGCACCGGGCAGAAGTTGAAAGTCGGCCGTGCTTTCACCCGGGGTACATTTGGCACCGTGCACCCGTGCAAGTTGAATGGCGAGGATGCAGTGGTGAAGCTGACGCGAGTCCACAAGGAGCCTTCCCGCGTCCGCGATGTTCGCCTCCTCAACGAAGTGGACGATGAGAAGAAATTGCGTGGCCGCGAGGCAACACTGCAAAAGGAAGCGAAGGTCCTGCAGTTGCTGCGCGATTGCCGGGGCGTCGTTCCTTGCTTCTGCAACATCCGGGCATGGGTCGGTGGTGTGCAGGTAACTGGCATGGTCTTGCAGAAGATGGACTGCTCCTTGCGACAGCTTTGGGCGCGCAGCAAAAGTGCTGAGCTGATCGTCAATCAGAATAGCGAGCAACTGGCAGTCGTCCTAGGGTCCGCGAATAACATTCTCTGGGCTTTGGGCAGGATGCACGCGTGTGGGTTCTGTCACATGGATATCACGCCGGAGAATTTGCTGTGGAGTAAAGCCCGCAGGCAGTTGTACCTGGCGGACTTCGGCTCAGCTGCACGACGGCGAGGATTCACTTGGCAGACATTGCAGGATCTGCGCGAAACTGCCAACATCCGTCAGAGCTATGCTTTGGCTTTCAAAGGGGTGTGGCGCGTGTTGAAGCAGCTGTACGATCAGTTTCCTAGCAGCTCCTTTGTTCGCTTTAACTGCAGGGACAAGAACCCCGATGACATGGAAGTCAAGCTGCCGCTCGCCGACCCCCGCCTGGATTATTTCGCACTCGTGATCATTCTGCGCAACCTGCTGGGAGAGGAAGGGTTTGTCGCTGGTGGTCGCGATGATCTCTATCCGGAAGGCGAAGCCATGGCGATTCCGCGCTCGTTCCATCCACCAAGCCGAGAGGAGCCATGGGGCCAGGCTGATCCGACGTGGCCATCACTTCTGGAGGCGGCTGTCCAGCTGCGTGCCTTGAACCATAGGCTGGAGGCGCTTCCACCGCAGCCGGAGCACGAGCTCAAGCAGAAGGGAGATTCCTTTTTGGACGATGCCTTGAGGACTTGCCTCCAGGATTGGCAACCGATGGAGAGTCACGCGAAGCTCAGGAGGCTTCAGAACGTAGACATGCATGGGAGGCTTGGCCCCGGACCCAGCGGACCTCTCGTCTTCTGGCAGAGAGATTCCTCCGGCACGGCCGTGAACATCATGTCCTTCGACCTTTCGAAGCTGGGAGAGAAGCCGCAGCGCTTGGTTCACGAGGCAAAGAAGGAGCTCGCCGCCCGCTTGGGCTGCTTTCCTCCCCAAATCAAGCTCTGGGCTTTGCCGCGGCCCCGCTTCGATAATTTGAAGGAGGAGGAGGAGGAGGTCCTACCAGGTCTGAGCTCCGAGCAGCTGGATTCGCCCCTCCTGCGCGTGGAGGTGATGCCCCTCCAGCAACTCAAGAAGGAGCTCGGCTTCGAGTTCTCTGAGCATTTGATGAAAACCAGCTACGAGGAGGTCTGGTACCTGCTGAACAGCCGCCACCTGCACCCCGACTGCATCTCTCTGCGGGACCTCATCGACGCAGGGCCCGGGCCATGCCGCGCGGCCCTGGAGAACGGGGCGGATCCCAACCAGATCAGTGACCGGAGACACAGAGACCCCATGAGGGCGGCATACTATGGAGATGGCAGAGGCATTACACCCCTGAGTTACACAACCGAGAACATGCCCTATGCGTGGGACAGCTGGGGCGAGTTTCGCCAAGAGAGTGCCGAGGTGCGGTGGAGAGAGTGGGGGAGGCACAAAATAGCGCCGTGTAAGTATTCGCACAGCATCATGCCGCTAGCAGAAGGCAAGAAATTATTGGTTTAATCCAGTCTGAGGATATCTGTGCGCATGTGGGCTTTTGCACTGTAGGCCTGTAGGCATGGCCCAAGCAGGTAGCGCGACATCCTTCGTCCATATATTACAGCACGGCTCCCTGCCTACTTTTTATCTGTACGATGCTTGTTTATCACTTGTCGAGAAGGCTATGGAGATCATGCAGATGCTCTTGGACGCTGGAGCACGGGTCAACAAGGTCGATGGCAACGGCAACACTCCCCTGTCGCTGGTGCCGTCTGCACGCATGCAGCAAGCACAGGACCAGCTGTGTGCTACATATCGTGACACTCGTAGTCTGCTGCTCAGAGCTGGTGCAACCCGCTGGCCGCGCCTGTGGGCAGCCTCGAACAGGCTTGTACACATGACTGCGTGTCAAAATGACATGTCGGTCAACGTAGTGCGTCACCGCCGCACTTCGGAGCATGAGGAAGGATTCTTCAGCGTTTGAATCTTTTTCCACCGTTGCGTTTAGCTATGTTTAGCTGCATGGTTTTAACATTTAATTAGAGGATTCTGGCACAGGAGCTCTGTCCCCGACGATCATCGATCAACGGGCGAGAGAGACGCTTATGCCAAAATGCCGAGTGACTCTGCTGGTGCATGCAGCTTCCGGCTAGATGCCAGCCAACGGAGTTTGACACTGACGGGGTTCCAGGCATTTGCCTGTACCCAGCGATGTAGCAGTGGGAGCCCTACACGTGCGTGTGTAAGGTCATCGTTGAGATTCGGTGAGCCTCGATGCCGAAACGGCGAAGTGGCATTCTTAGTAGGCAAGCTGCATCTCGGAAGCACTGCAAGCAGTTTTGACATGGCAGACAGGGGGCTCCTTTGCGCAGGCAGACCAAAGCTTTCCAAGCCAATGTGCAACTGCCGCAGGCAAAATGGACCGCATGCCAGTGCGGAGAGCTTGAGGCGGATCTGCAGATTCTTGCGGTTTCATGCAGATCCGTGATCTGAACGAATGAATCAGGCTAAACACTTCTAGAGTCTAGAGTTCTCATTCCAGGCATGTATGTATTCAAGTTGAGCTGTGGTGACGTGAATTGTCTTTATAAAGACTGCTTGTGACTTATGTGTATTTAAACAATTCACACGCTGTGTTTCTGAAAGAATTCTCATGTCCATGTTGGCCGAGGGGCAACAGGGAGCCCGAGTTCCCTCAAAATACTAGGTCACCGGTGCTGCATACAAGAATTGGATGCGACTTAGCTTGAGCTTCCGCCGGATCCTTAGACTCTGGCGGGAGCATCGCAGCCTCAAAGACC